GATATATTTATAAGATTTTAAGTAAAACCTTTATAATGGTGTAATCTAATGAACAAAAATATCACCCATGGCCCACCGAGAAACTGTGTACTGCCCTGAGTTAACGGTCATTTGTTAACGTCGATGTAATTGACGACACCAATAATTACACAACTTTGGGTGACGAACCAACTATGACATGTTAACATCAAAACCCAGAACACACAGGTTATGTACAAAAAGTACTATATATAGACATTCCTTCTATCATGTCATTGAAATATAATTAATAGTTTATCACATTTTACCCTTACTACTAACCATACAGATGAACCATTAATAAGATTTCCTTTCCGGAAATGGTAAGAAACATACAGTTTTAAAGTCCTTTTTCAGTTTGATCTGTAGAGCTAATATGAAAAACAGAAAGAAAAAATTACACCGAGACTCCTAAAAAAGTACATCGAGAATAAGACCAAGTGTTCTGGAAGAGTAAGCGTCTTCTGCCTCATTTACGACACTTGCTAAATAAATGCCAATCCAAGTAAGTTATGTCAGGTTATCAAATGAGAACAAGGTATACAACAACGGAACCAACAGGCAAACTAGCGAGCTTCAAACACCTCCAGCTTCATATCACACAATGAGAGATCTATGACGTCCGTGCAAAAAATTCTTATAATTTTCACCAGCCTGCATCTTTTGAAACTCTGTGTCACAAGTTTGTCAGTCATAAGACGACTTCTTTCACGAAAATCGTGATAATGGGAACAGGCCCTTGGGTATCGAATCAGGGTTTGGAATGAAGAAAGTTGCTATCCAGAAATGGAAATTCGCAATAGGGAAATTTATATCGTTTTTGATGGAAAGCTGTCCAAGTTGGTTTCGAGGTAAGAAAAAGGAAATATAAGTATTCCAGAAAAGGGTACAATTGATTGACTGAGTCTACTCAGGAAAGTATGATTACTCTGACTTAACTTAAAGGATTGATTGGTTTAGATATACATTTTATCTTTTACTGTAATCTGCTTGAAAAGAAAGATGGGAATAATCCTCTTACTTTTCCTTAATAACGAAAGAAATGATATACATTGTACTTACAATACAAATTATCAGCCAGTCAGAAAAAAGCATTTTATGACAGATTTTTATGAAAGATAATCTTTGTTGTAAATTGTACAAAAGAAACGCAAGTGAATACCGCCATTTAGCACAAATTTAGGTAAGATACAGCAGAGCCAAACAATGGTTTAAACTGCATCATACATATGTGTTTTGTCCTTCTAGGACTCTGCAGTGATGGTAAGAGTCTAAATGTTTAACCTAGGAGGCGACTGAGGAAAAATCAAATTTGATAGTAGTAAATGTCAGAATGTAGATGTGGATGTGCACTAGCCACATAATTCAGTATTTTCGTAATTTTACTGTAACTGATCATTCTAAAAGAAAGCCAGGTACATGTGTATATTCTAAATCGTGCCACTAAACCAAAATTGTTTTACTGTTTTGTTGTTAATGATGTATGTGTGAGAAAGGAATTAATTCACATATGTCTTGATAATTGTGATGTGGCGAAAATCAATATTCAAAACGAGGTAGATAAAAGTTGAAACAAATGTAAGATATTACTTTACCATAATCTGATTCGCGAGATTTAAAGTACATACATAAAATGTTGGTAGTCAGTGACAAACACTGAACTGAGTAGTCCTTGGCTTGGTGCACATTAAATATTAGCGGTCAGTGACAAAGATTTGATTCCTAGGATGGGTGTACACACCTACAATATGATAACTAAAGTTAGAACTTCCACTTTATTAAGCATATATAAAATACAGATGCACCTGTCGCTGTGTATATTAATTCCCTTAACAAATAAACATGGCTTGAAAAGTGGGATACGTGCAAAACACGAGCCTGTAAATTAACACCTGTGTCCATATATGAGACTCGGCAATCCTCTTATACATTGTGCCTGCTCCGATCTACAGCCTCAGTATCAAGGAGACTTGCAGGGGAGAGAGTTTCCACGTGGGCCAGATAAGGTAAGCTTAGTTTGTTTCAATTGAAATTATCAAGAACAAATTAAGTTAAAAGTAAACATTTCAACATATTGAAAGCTTTAATTTCGATGTTATCTTTAAAAAAAAAAAAAAAAAAAAAAAAAAAAACGTTTTCTCAGTATTGCCTACCTAATCCAATTAACTTTTCGACGATTTGTTACTTAATAAAACCTGTTAATTGCAAAATAAAAAATGGACCATGTATGTTAAAGTGATTCAGCAATTAAATGAAATGTATCGTATCAATAATCTTGTCTCAGATATGCCAACCAATAACATTTTATACATAATCTGTGATTTTTAAGTAGTCTGTTTTTCTGCTTTATTCTCTCTCCTATGAAAATTGTTAAAAACACACAAGCGAATAGCAACTTTCAATGCAATTTTTCAATTAGAAAAAAAAAAAAAAAATAAAAGGAGACGGATGAAAATCAAATCTTGAAATAATTTGATTTCTTTTTTATTTAAAGTGATTTCCAAATTACCAAATATACAAGAATGTTACACAAAAAATTAATAATCCAATGATTTCATGATTGCATAGTATCCCAGTTATAATACCTGCATGTGTAATATTGTCGAATTATTGATTAGATATTGTTTAACGTTATATAAAGTACCTAACTCGTGTTTTGTAGTTATTATATCTTAGAATCGAGGTAAAGTAATAAATTTACAAAAAAAAAAAAAAACTTTATGTCGTCTTTCCTATACATACACCCTTTGATATGATAAAAATAAGGTCATAACAAAACAGCACAATGTAAACATTTCTGTATGTGATGAAATTCCAAGGATATTATTATTATCATTGCATTCTTAACGGCCCGTCAACACATAAAAAGTCATTAGGACTATCAACCGGTAAAACACAAAGCAATCCGAAAAGAAATAACATTAAACAAACCAAAAGGTAAAAAACAAATGCTAAAAATGTTAAATGGGTATATTAACACAAAAGATTAAAATCGTACGTCATAGTCTATTATATAGACCAACATCTTTCAGGTAATGTAGAATTTTACAGATCTCAACAGTTTCAAAAAGGGTTTTTAGACATGTAATTTTACGATAAAAACATTTTCAAATAGACCCACATTCCAAGGAAAGTATATTGGTAGTATTACGTGTGTTATCATATTAAAAACATTCTAGCTATTTTGATCTAGATTTCGGAAACAATGTTTTATGATTTGCTTTCTTACAAATATTTCTTTTTATTTATAAATCATGTTGAATTACAAAGATAAACATGTTTATTGGATTTCTAGATTTAGATAAACATTGTATCAGATTACATGGCAACTCCATAGTCTTAGTATTGCTTTCGATGACAAAATTAGATCATTAAAATATTCGACCTTGTTTCTATTATTCGAATGCAGAGATGAGAAATGTAAAGCTACACGATTAACCGAATTAATCATTCGTGAAGGTTAATACATAACAATAATAACTGAGCGATATAATGCTTCATGATGGATTTGCATTATGGCGGTACAGCTGTTTTGATTCAATCAATAAAGGTTTTTATGTGGACTGTTAAAAATACGACATGTCAACAGATAAAACTAAGGCAATATATGAGAAAAAGATTTACACGAAAATCACTGAAAAAGTACAAAAAGACCAAATGTTTCGGAGTGGTGAGCGTCTTCTGTTTCAACGACGACACTCGACATACAACTTGGTGGTTCAAAATGAGTAATGTCTTAACAATGAAACCACCAGGCATGCTAATAAACATCAAGCACGTCCAACATAAAAATCATAAAGAAATTAATGAAATCACGGAGACGATCTCGTAACAGAAAATGTATCATATGAATTTCATAACTCGAATCGGCACCATAGAAGTATTTCGTTCTTGATTTGACCTAAACCTAGCACAATTGTTTTCTTTTTAAATTTATATATCTATATATTTCTTTTTGTGTTATTTTTTATGATCATTGATGCAGTAGATCAGGATTGGTTTGCCCCCTTCCATTTTCTCATTGATTCGACAGGAAGAGGAAGTTGGTATACAGCGATATCGTCAAACGTCGACTTTAAACATCAACTGTCTGATCATTTGACTCCTGAGTAAAGTGAAGACATAAAAACAGCAGCAGTTGAAGAGGAATCATAATAATTTATCGACTTATTTAACCAATAATCATACAAACTAATCAAATAACGTTTTTATATAGGAACCAATCTCGAATAACTGAACTGAAGAACTCAAATTCAACAAAACTAGGGCAAAAATTAGTTTTCAAAATCAAGAAGAATATGATTAGGCGTTCCGGAGGAGTAAGCGTCTTCTGCTACATAGACAACAACCGTTATGTAAATCTTTGTCAATATCAAGGTCAGGCAATGTCACTTTCTCTAACGTGAATAAGGTATCATCAAATACGTCCAGCTTAATATCTCAATAACATCACAACGACGATCGTTAAACGTATCTCTTAACTCTACAGATGCACCAATCTCCGCATTAATCAATCGTCATATTAAATCATAGAATAACTCCACTAAGGAATCAATCTCGATACCAACTTTATGAATAACCTAAACGAGAAACCAGTCTCCATACTGATTTATTGAATAACTCTACTGAGGAAATGGAATAAATGTTCTAATCATTTTATTGAATAACTCTACTAAAGTGTACGCCTGCAACCAAGAAGCATATAGGCATAGAAAAACTAACCTTAATCGTACTTATATGTCTAATCTACACACACAACATGGATACTTTGCCAATCATTACGGTTTTATCTGGTAACTAGTGTTATAGTTTCCTCTCCCAGTAAGACCTATAGCTAGTTTTGCAGATGTAACAAACTAGACAAAACTTGTATTTTATAGTGATCTAGAAATATTGTTTTACGCTATATAGAAAAAAAAACCATTGTTTGAATAGTTTGTCTTCTTACCTACCTTTATATAACTTTCCTTTTCATAGGTGAAATGGCGCACGGTTTGAAATGGACTGCTGTGTTCCTGTTGATAGCGACATATGCAACAAACACAGAAGAGACTAGGGTTAAAAACGTCGACACGGAAGTGGATGATGTAGAGTTATCACGGGCGAAGCGGTCTGGATCTAGTAGCTCGACTATGATGTCAGGAGGTAGTACTTTCACAAGAGTGGAAAGTAGTACCATAACCCAAACGCTAGAGACGGCTGTATTGGTGGGAACATCAGCACTCAACAAGGACATAGAGCAGAATCGTCAATTCGTCGAAGCAGGTATGTCATCACAATCCTTTGGTCACGAGCATATTCTTTAAGCGTCTTCGGGTTCCTTGTAGCAGTTATTTGTGATTATGATAGGTTATGTTAAGATACCAAAGGTCAGCTGTCATTCATTTGTTTATGTTATTTACTACACAAAGAGCAGCAATACACACAGTAATGATTATGATCGAGTATACTGCATGTTGCTAAAAGAATCTACAATTCAATAGCAATCACTTACAAAACAGATATATTTGGATGCATCTAATATACGTGTACTTACAGGAGTTGACTCCGGTAACCCTATGGTATATTCACATCAGCTAGACATGTTCGCAGCGCCCTCTTCCGTATCAGGAGCTATCAACAAGTGTGCTTTCTATGAGCTATTGTTGGTCCAGGAGATCCAAAGAATGTACGTGTCATCTGTTACCCAAACAGCTTAGAACATCTGGACACCCAAACAACACAAGCTCCTATGGTTCTGTTGTAACACCCAAATATTATTCACAGCCCCAATGATTCATCACATACAGTTATATTTTGATTTCATTGTTAAGTTTAGGTCATACTTTCTTTGATGTGATAGGTGATATTCTCTTCCTATTCCAGACAGATGCAACAACGTTTTTATTACTGTGAGATGTCCTTGTCACACCATTTGGATGATATGAGTAAATTTAATGTTTATGCATGTCGTATCAACAATGTATAGTAACATTTTGGGGTGAAATGTTAAATTCGAGGAGTTTCTGCTAAAACCATAATACCCATAGCGATGTAGAGATGAATCAAGTATACTTTTCCAATGTGAACTTCATATGTAAACCCACAAAGTACAGGAGGTTTCTAACTGTCTTCCTCATCTACTTCTTGAGTTCCAACGTTTCTTTCGCTCCAGCAATCATGTTGTATCTATGATCATTTCAATTATCCTTTCAGAACTCATTGTGATGTTGATCAATTACTGTATAGCAGTAGTTGGCAAACTGCTTTGAAAACCCTTCTTGCAAAGCATTGTCCTCCAACAAGCGTTCCGAAATGTGATCCCACAGCAAGATTCAGGACCATTGATGGATCATGTAACAACCTGAAATATCCTCAACGTGGAATGGCCTTTAGAGCGCAGAAGCGATACCGACGGCCTGCCTATCAGGATCGTATGTCACGACTATGATATATATTTATATAATTCTAATATCAATTACTCTTCAACGCAAAATGAGAATCTCAAATACGGCTTTGTCCTGCTAAGACCTCCTTAATAAATGTTCTCGAATTGTCTTAACCCTGTATAGGAAAGAATGGGTCCGTTAACTATCGCTGTACTGTTCTATTTCAGATATCGGCAAACCACGACAAAAGTCGGTGCTACTCCATAACCTGCCGAGTCCACGTGTGGTCAGTAACTGCGTGTTTAATGCAGGCCCCAACCCAGCATTGTCAGCAGACATCACATCAATGCACATGTCGTTTGGTCAGTTCCTAGATCATGATCTTATCTTCACACCAGTCATAAAAGGTGAGTTTGGTCAATACAAGTCTTTTTTATACTGAGCTTTTGCCTTTCGAATGTAATATACGAAAATATTCTTTCAGTGAAACACGAGTATAGAAAAATATATAAATAAATATTCAGTATGAAGATGTTTTAAAACCTTTTTTTATTATTACTGTGTTATTGAAATATTTTAATTTACTCGATGTCATCCTGTCTTATTGGTTTCTTTGTAGGAGAAGGTGGTGCTGGAATTAACTGTTGTGCCTCCATAGAATTAGCAGATAGGTGAGAAGGAAAAACATAATGAGAAACAATCTTAAAAGCATCTTTTAACAATGTAAGGATATATGAGCTTTGATTCAGTAGATCTGTTGATATCATAAATGTTTATTCTGTACTGATGCAATGTTTTACACAGGCCTGAGTGTTTTCCTATCTTCGTGCCACAGTCCGACCCCAACATTACAGAGTCATGCATGAACATGGTCAGATCGTCTGCCGCTGTCGATGACAATTTGAGAGGTATGGCATTACCAATCAAGTATTCTCTCAAAATACCTCCAAATCTGTCAGGATACCCGGCACTTCCACGATACTTTTCTGTATTTGTCTCCAAAATCACATTCATTTGTTCACATTCAGTTTTTTTCCCTTTATCATAGTACCCGTTTAAGAACGTAACAAATAAATAATTGGATTGACCCAGATTTGCATAGCAGGTGTCGTCGATGAACAGAAAACGCTTACCATTCCAGAACACCATTCCTTATAATCCTCGTGCTTTTTCAGGATTCTCCTGGAAAATCTTTCTTTTATTTGTGTTTTGTGCTGGTGTAACAGATTTTGAGCTTTGAAAATCTTGTTATTTTCATGTTAATAAGAATCATACTCTTCGGTCTATTTGTTTTACTTTCAACACGGATATGTTGATTTAAAATCATCAATTATTGAAAATTGTCATGTACATGGTAAATTCTGAACCGTGCTACTATTCGAATGAACTAAAACGTAACATGCAGGTTACGGTAAACCTCGGGAACTTAAAATCCACCAGCAGTGTCTACTACCTGCCACCTTAAAGTTTGTACAGATGACCCACAAGTGAATAACACCTTTTAATGATTAAGAGTTAGATAAAATAGCGCCAAACAATAAATTAAACTGTATCATACAGCTGATGCCAAGGGCCTAAATGTTCAAACTTAGGCGTCGACTGAAGAAAATAAATAGTTTGATCGATCGAAGTTTTTGCGATTATCTGTTTAAAGGATACCGAAACCAATTAAACGAAGTGACTTCATTCGTGGATGCGTCCAATGTCTACGGGTCGACAACAAAGAAGATGAAAGAGCTCCGTGACAGCGTAAAGAAACAAGGTGATATCTCGTTGTTTATATATGTATGTTAAAATGATAATTTATGGATGTAATCTACCAATCAGCGAAGTCCACTTTAATGGAATTTTATCGTTAATAGGGATTCATTTATTCAAATTATTTTGTTCTCAAATTATTTACCTATGTTTGTTCTGCTTAATAACATCACTTTCACGATGAAAAAACATTTGAGGAAATAACAACATTGCTGTTATATTATTACAGGATTGCTGAAGGTAGATCAATACAACCGACTTCCGGAGGGTAAGACCCAGTGTTTCAAAGACAAACCAACAGATTATTGTCAAGATGCAGGTAAATCATTGTCTAGTATGCTTGTCTTACAAGTTAGATATAATGGCCAAGCTTTTCTCGAACGATTTATAGCAAATATAATTACATAATTACAAATTTTAGTGCACATGGACATGGTTTTTGGTCTATCTTTTGTCCTTGTTTACTAGTTTTTAAAAAGCCGCATATAACACTTTACCAGGAATGTCAATGCAAGTTAAGGTTGCACTTGTGGAGTTTTACTCAAGCATTTTTTTAATGGAAAGAAACAGCAGATTTTCTCCTACTTGACAGATGTTGATGATTTGTTACAGGTGACAAACGTGTCAATGTAGTCCCGAACCTAGGGGCAGTTCACTTACTTTGGGTGAGGGAACATAACCGTGTGGTTAAGATCCTAGCGTCCCATAATCCGACTTGGGATGACGACAGACTATTTTATGAGGGCAGAAAGATCATCATCGCCATGATGCAACACGTCGTTTACAATGAATACCTACCCGTCATCTTAAATAGCGACTACATGAAGGCATTTAAACTGGAACTACGTGAATCTGGTTTCAGCTACTTGTACAAAGAGCGCGCAGATGCTACAGTGGCCAATGTCTTTGGCGTTGCCGCTTTCCGTTTTGGCCATTCTCAGATCACCAACATACAAGCGCAATACAGTCCGTCTCACAAGCCCACCAAAACAGTGGTCATTGAATCCACCTTCCATCGGCCCCATCTAAATGTAGAGATGAAAGGAAAAGGCTACGAAGCTGTGCTTCGCTGGCTTGTCAACGCCAAGGCTACAAAAAGTGACAGGTATGCAATTGACGAATTACTCTCAAAAATAAAAAAAGTCAAATTACTCATGAAGATCTCTATTCTCATACATCTTATGCTAACTGTATGTGCTGCATGGGTCTACCTGTAGGTCGATCATTGAAATCGCCTTCACATTACATGTAAACATTATAAATTGGATTCTCTTGTTATTAAGGACGGTTGCAATCTATTGATACTTTAGTAAATACATTCATAAATGCAATTATTTTAACATTGATTACTGGAAAAAGTTATAACTTTATCAACTCGCAGAAAATTCGAGGATGGTATTCGGAATAAACTCTTCCCTGACGCAAAAGGCCGTACTATGGATCTTCCAGCCATCAACGTGAACAGAGGTCGGGACCATGGTATTCCAGCTTACAACGTCTGGCGAGATTGGTGCGGACTCCCTAAGGCCAAAACATTCCGAACCGATGTCTCCGGGGGTCTGTTACATCACTCGAAGGAGTCTGCTGCAGCACTGAGAAGCGTCTACAGGTATTTACCAAACAACTTCTTATGGAGCATTGAAAATGTCTTTGGAATATTTGCTGATATCAGTACTAGTGTTTAAGTACTTATCAAAGTAATGACATTTTTTGTATAACACATATAAAAATTTGCTGAAGGTCGTACCTTTCGTGTGATACAAATGTTACGGAATCTGCTGTGATAACATGCTACTTGTTTACAGTCATCCTGACGACATAGATTTATATGCTGGAGCAATGTCAGAGATCCCCATCCCGAAAGGAATTGTTGGCCCCACTTTTGCCTGCATTATCGGATTCCAGTTCCAGCAACTTAAAATTGGAGACCGATTTTGGTATGAAAACAATCTTGGAAGACTCGGACTGAATTCAGGTAACAGTTTACCTTCTGTCTGTCTGTATTACAGTCAACCTGCATAGACTGTATCCGACTTTAAATTTTTCTAAACGCCATTGTTTATTTTCAGTCCAACTTGCAGAAATTAGGAAAGTTAGCTTAGCAAAGATTGTATGTAACAACATTGAAGTATCGGAAATGCAGCCAAAGGCCTTCCGGACTGTCTGTTCAGGGTAAGTACTGACAACAATAAAGTAAAGAAAAAAAATTACACACATTTGATGAATATTTGTAGGATCCGATTACGATGTACAAAACAAGGTGTTTCGACTGCAGTAAAACTAGCAATAATATCATCTAACTTGTATAGGGATTTTGTTGACCATCTAAAATTTCCCCTTGTTTTGTTGTCCACACTTTACATGGGCTGAACACAAACAATTTCCACTTAATAATTTGCAAATGGTTCTGCATAGCGGTACAGGAATATGGTTGCAACAGACTGTCTTCTTCTGTCAATGAATATGATGGATATATCTTTGTCTTTTTTCGCAGTAACGCCCGAGTGAAGTGTTCCTCACTACCAGACGCCGACCTGAGTTACTGGAAAACGGGATAATCATGTAAGTACCGCGGTACCGAATTTTAATTGATAATTTACCGTCTGTACTTCAAACGGTAAATTCTTGACAGGTTGGTTACATTTAGCTCTTAATCGAAACATGTTTATATTAAACAGTAAATGTAAGTATTCTCATTTTTCCAAGTACTTAGATACTTGATTTTTTAAAAAGAAAAGTAACGTTTTAAGGAAAAATGTGATATCTTGAGAATTTCCTTCAAATTACAAAACTACCATAAAGCAAAACTTCCTATAGCTCTATGAATGAGGATAACATTGGTGTATGTTGCAGGTTCAACGACTGACCAGCCGTGATGCAAACTGAAGTTCTTTCTATCCTTCAGACTGGAATTCATAGTTTGATATATATTCACATTACGTTAGTTCTAAGGGGTCTATTTTATCATTATTTTCGAAGATATGATAAAATTGTGAAATCATATACATTGAAAATAAAATTCATCAAAAAACCTCGTTGCCTACACACAACGTTCGCGAAGAAAATTTCCTTCTTGTCTCAATCTTTTGATTAAGTCGCGAAAATCTGAACTGTAGGAAAAAAACTGAAATAATAAAATATTTGATTGAAACCCGCTACTTTATACATCTGTTTTATGACATATGAAATACAACTATTTAGATTCAACAATTATGAAACGTTTTCTAAAATTCAGTTGACCTGAAACCACGATTTCCGACTTTGTACCAGGAATCCTCCTCCACGCTAAGTTACGACTAATAATGTATTGAAATATGACCACCTCATTGCCTGTACGGTATGTTTTTCCAAACAGCACACTTTTAGTTCTAATACTTAAGCAGTATAGGTGGCGCTGCTTGTACTTACCGTGTTGACTGATAAGAGTTTCTCTGACCAAAGACAAAAATGTCTAACGCAACTGCAACGACGAGAAACTGTAAGGAAACAATAACAGAAATTATCCGACTTCAATATCATATTTGTCATATTTTATCTACATAGAATTTGGTAATAGATTGTGTGACCAAATTGAACGTATGCATATTATCACCACAACTCTACCAACAATGGCCATGGGGATATACTTATTTGAAATTAATTTTAACTGTATTAATTGAGCTGATCAACATGATTCGTTGTTTCGTTATTCTATTGTTAAGTTATGTATTTGTTACTAATTTTATTTCCAAATTTGAATTAAGAAAAAAAAAAATTCAGTTGTCATTTTGTTTTAGTGAGTTCTTTTGTTTTATCTATCATTCATTTTGATTATTCGTAAGGAATTCTCAATGTTGGATAGTGCGGGCCTTCATATTTCTGAAGAATATTCAAGATCATGATATCAAACATTTCGACTGTTTGTGTTAGGTAAAACTATTGTCATAATAACTTCATTATGGTTATCAAGTTTTTGCAAAACTGAAATACAAGTATAAAAATCTTACAGATTATCGATTTATGATAAAGATACGAACCTTCTTGTAGGTTATCGATTTATGATAAAGATACGGACCTTCTTGTAGATTATCGATTTATGATAAAGATACGAACCTTCTACTATGGGGATTAGGAGGATATAGGGGAAGGGGGCATTAAGAGTCCTAATGTCAATAGTCCGCCTGACGATCATAAACCATCAAAGTCAACGAAGATATTGTTGTTCGCTAAATTTAAATTCAGTGCACATTTGAATACGCCTTTGGTTTTTTCTTTTATGAATTGAACATCGGTATAGTCACAAACATGGATTTACTTATCTTTGAAGAAAACACTAATAACAAGAGAACCAAGGCGTCCTTTAAATCTGCAATGTAAAGAAGGGGAATTTTACAAAAGATAAAATTCATCATTTATCAAATGCTTTTGGGAGTTTTTCAAAATCCGCATTATATTATTTCCAGTTCTGTACTACACATTATCGCATTATGACTGTATAACCTCATTTATATGGATTGTTCCAAATACCACGACTGTCATGAAATATGAAGGCCATGATATATGTCGACAGCTGCCGATACTTGATTTCGAGAGATGCAGGTTCAGAAAGATTAAAGGAAAGTTTCATGGTCGCCATTGTGATTGAGCTCTATGACGTTAGACGTGTTCGTGCTAGCTGGCATCGCTTCTAATTTGAAAACGTAACATTGCTTGTCTCAACTGGTCTAGACTCCGACTTCTTCCTTTTCAGATAGAATTATGATTTTTCTAAAATGTCAGTATTCTTTATGTCGTTTTTTACATTAAAAATGTTATTTTCCAATGGCAAGGGAAAATACAGAAAACTTTGTCGTCGTCAAAGAGTCAGATTGGAGTAAAAAGGTGTTCTAAAGCCTGGTTTCTTCTAACGTATTATTTCAGTTTACAGAATGGTTATCACATTTATAACAGAATATCTGATCGGACATCTCTGTAAATCTTCTCTAGTTTTCCCGTTTTATAATCCTAATCAGATCTAGCCAAGCACTAAAATCTATTATGATACCATTACACTTATGATATTCAGCGTGAAACATATGTCAATCCGCCATTTACCTGACCCCTATAACCGCCCTTTTCTCCTAACAGATCACTGCGTCTGATTCCTAAAGGGATAAGGCAGGCTACTTATACAACATTAAGGTATTTAACGGGGATAAAGGCAGGCAACATACATAATGTATTGAAGAGATCTGAGCTGCACCAGCTGGTACACTGACATGATACATGTCGATTTTTTTCTTTAACACATGAAATAAAAAAAAAAGTGAATTATACAAAGGCTAGACATATTGAAATATATATCTGTAACTTTCGGTGAAATAAAAATAGAAAAAAAAAAATCTGATTTAACAGACTTAATCGGTCACGTGCAAAACAATTGTATATTGACATAAAAGATTACCATAAACACTCAGTTAATGGGCTCTCTTTGAAATCAATAAAATACGTAAAATGTGCTAGCAACGGAAATCTGTGAAAAAAATGAGATGATGTTACTGGTAGTAAATGTTTGATATCGGACCCAACACAACATTAAAACTTCAAAACAGACATAATAAAGGTATTTAGCAGCCTCTTCAGCATACACTCAAGTAGAAAAGCTTTGTAAAAAAACCCTGAAGCAGTTAGAGAGGTGTTTTATGACACGTGGTACAATATGTCATATTGAGGCGGGTTAACATAAAGACATAATAAACAGCTAACTCCTGAAATTACCTGTGATGAAAGTAAAAGTAAAAATATACTTTCATTATTGAAATCTGTTTGATTTCAAAATAGCTTTTGTGTGATACAAGTCTCCGTAAAGATCGTTGTTTTGAATAGCATTTAAATCACATAGCAACCGAAGCATTCAAAGAACTACTGTTGTTATTTTTAAATTTCAGTGTTTTAAAAGAAAATCTTTCGTTTCATCCTGCTGGAACAAGCCATCAAAATTAAATCTTTTTGTTTATTTTTTTTTTGTGAATGTGCAAGATAGCTATCAGAATAATAACAGTTCCTATATGGTCATACTGACGTAGTGCTCTATTGGATAATACAGATGTACATAGAAGCACGATCTCACAATCAGTATATAGACATTGAGAAAGAATAAATGAATAAACATATGCTAGACTAGCTAGCATATAACCCTACCACAGCAGCTCAGGAATAGAAATCTATGTGGGAAAAATGAGTATTATAAAGAGCAAATTACCTGGGCAGCAAAGACACCTTGCCAGATAATTCAGACCAGAAATATGCGAAGCTTTTTTCGAAGTTTTAAGAGAAATGTTGGAAAAACTTCGTTTCTGTACGTTTATATGCAGTTCATTTATGGTGGCAACTTTATTAACAATCACAATCTGGTAGACATTATGGTGTTTTATGACACAGAAGTTTCAGGTTATGTAAACAATACCCTTCTTATTCTCGGTCTTACATTGTATATATGTAAACTGGACATACGACACTTACGAAGGCGTGCATAGAATTTCGCAAAACTGAAGTACGTTTTTAGGTAAAATCTTAACCTTTCTTATTCGTCCCACAAATTAATTTAACAGTGAAAATGTGAGGTTTTTTTATTCTAATAATAATTTCTACTTGTAAAAACGGGCTAGAAACAATACCTTTCAATATGAAGAAGACAAAAAATTCATACATTTTGATTTGATATTGCTGATGTAGAAAAGAAGGCAGATGCTTTAAAATGTTCTACGAAATTTGTGCTGTGGGGTGCAATATATTGATGTCTATGTCCTCTTTTGTTACGGCATTAACAAAAAAAAACCAAAAAACTATCCCCAGTTGCATCAAAATTCTGCAGGGGGACATTAAAACTGTACTTTGTAAGGTATGTGCTAATTGCATCCACACTTTGTGAAATACTTATGTCTTCATTGTGGTAATGATTTTTTGTACTTCATTACAAACAAACATCACCTAAAACTAGAGTCTGTACACCCTTCCTCTTATGGTACGATAGTCATAAGCAACCCGAACAAACACTGCAGACCCGACAATTTTTCATCCCAAATTACAAAGTTGTTCATGGAAACCACGGAAGCTATATCAAAACTGCTTCAGCTGCTTTTTAAAATATATTGAATGAAGAGGAGATGAAAACATCTGCCCTGGCAATCATAGACCGGTAAGTCTAACAACGTCTTCAAAAAAAGCATTGTTTGATCTTTATATGCTCTTTGAAAATTGAATCTTTCTCATTCTTTTATTTTCTCTTCTGTTTTTGCCCTTAATGGTTAGACTTTTGAATATTCCTTTGCAGACATAGCGATGATAATCCTTACCTACCAAATCAAAACTGGCCAACTGGAAACCATTTTGTTTCTTCTGATCAGGTCCCAAAATCAAATGAGCACAGTGAGATACCAACGGGACTATACATATGAAATTTGAGAGATATCCGTTCAGTAATTCTTAAGAAATAGCAATAACAATCTTTACTAGGCATAATACCAGATGGCTGTCTGTCGGCCATTTTGTTTTTCTGGTCTGTCCCAAACCCAAACAGGCCTAAAGGGACCTAAAGGAACCTATACAAGAAATTTGAGAAATCTCTATTGAGTAGTTCTCAAGAAATATTGATATCAGGCTTTCGACGTCAAAATCCAAGATAGCCGCTTGTGGGCCATTTAGTTTTTTCTGATCAGTACCAAATCATACAGGCATAACTAGGGATCAAGGAAAGCATACAAGTGAACTTTTAGAAAGATCTATGCTGTAGTTCTCCAGAAATAACGATGATAATCTTTCAAAGTCAAAATCAAAGGTGTCCCTCTGTCGGCCATTTTGTTTTTCTGATCGGTACCAAAATTACACGGGCACAACTAGAGACCAAGGGGAACCTATATATGAAATTTGAGAGAGATCCATCCTGTTCTTCTCAAGAAATAGCAATAACAATCTTTCAAAGTCAAAATCCAAGATGGCCGTCTGTCAGCCATTTTGATTTTTTTATCAGACCCAAAATCATATTGGCACACCTAGGGACTAAGAGGAACGTACATATGCTATTTAAGAGAGATCCATCCAGTACTTACCAAGAAATAGCGATAAAAACTTTCAAAGTAAAAATCCAAAATGGCCGCCTTCCGGCCATTTTGTTTTTCTGATGAGTCCCAAAATCACATGGGCACAACTAGAGACCAAGGCGAACCTACATATGCAATTTGAGAAAGATCCATCCAGGAATTCTGAAAAAATAGCGACAGCAAAAATTGTTTACGGACGGACGCACAACGGACGGACTGACGACGGACGGAAGGACCACAGACGCAGAGTGATCTGAATAGATTCTTTTTTAGCCCACCATCATTAAAAAGGGAAAAAATATGACACGAAGAAAAATATAAAACACGGCTTCCCTCCGTTTAAGATAATCCTGTATTACCCAACTTTTAGAAACTTTCAGAATCCGGACTAAATTTCTTGATGAGAGGAAAATTTCCACGGAACAGATTCCATATTATACTATTGCATCAATAGAAAAATACTGGACTATGAAGTGTAAGAGTGCAATATTCAGTTCAGAACGCTGTTAAGTGACCCCCTAATCTGACAATATGAAATAGCTAATAGATAGACAGAACCCTTCGGATTAAGAGACTTCTTACTGTCAGGAATGTTATCATTTTGGTGACTTGTCCGAAGTGTTCTGATTAAAAATCCACAGTTTAGTTTTTTTCTGTCGGCCATGTGGCATAAACGAAAATAAAATTGCAGATAAAGATGAAAATACCAAAATAAGCATGAGTAGATCTCTGTTATAAAGAATCGACAGACTGATAACCGCAATTCAGGCATACACCAACACAAATAAAATCCCTTCATACCATATTAAAGCCTAAACTTCTGTTAGAGTGGTTATTATATGCACTGTATCCGGATATTAAGTCAAACTTTAAAAATCTACTTTCGTTTTACCAGTATGATCTTTATCAAAGTCTGCTTTCATTTTACAAAAATTGAATTTTGCCATTATTTCCATGTTCAAAACTAACACATGTTTTGCATTATTCTTTTGAACAAATATCAACTATTTATCGTCTTTATAATGCTAACGTTCGCAATATTCTGGTAGTACATAATAACATTAGAGTTATCGTTCCTTTGCGGAAGTAGCATAAATTCCAAAGATGGCGGACCCCTTGTGTCTGCTGTCTTTGGTCTTCATTCTTTTGGTGAGTTGATACCTGATAGCGATTTCTATGCGACATTTTATTTGAATTGAAGAGACGTACGACTTTAATATCACGCTCAATACTATGATAAGTTATTAGACAAAATTAACGATCCGTTCTGTTCAACATTTGAGAAAAGCACTAGCAATTGCCCTGTTAGTTAGTAACACGTGTCACATCGGGATTGTTCAACGTAAATATCAGCAACGTATACATATTATATTCGACAATAATGTATATGTGACAGTTTTCAGCATTCAAACTTAGTTGTCTCTCTTCCTTTAGTTTATTTGAACAGTTTTATATGACAAAAGTAGTTTATTAGCTACCTACTGCAAGCTAGGGTTAAAAATAGTATTCCTTTTTGGGAATGTTTTGACCACATTCAGGGTCTATAAATGGGTCGGTAAAATTAATACGACGGCTGAAATGCTGTCCTCGGAAACATATTACTGAAAGTTTCAATTAGTAACAGTTATTTCTGACCAGGATGGACACAAAAGTATAAGGAATAAGGCTTTATGCAAGCGATTTATTAGCCTTCAAGTTAAACTTTACAGATTCTAAGAGCTTACGGGTTTGCCTATGTATATATAACAAACCTAAGCATATCATGTAAATTTTCTGGTTCTTTAGTAATAATTTCCAATAAATATTCAGGCACATGCCATACACTTCTGAAGTAGATTTTGTATCGATTTGTGATAAGAAATGCCCATATTTTGGGGCAAAGATTTATGATAAAATAATTGATGGTTCTGTATTTTTCTTTGATTTTGCAGTTATACATTGATAGAGGGAAGTGCAGCTTTTCATTAGAGAAATGTAATGAGCTTGGCTTTAATACAGGCCTTATGTGCAGTGCCTGTAAAGAACTAGGTCAATTTAACTTGAAACAGTTGGAGGAATCATGCCTTGCCTGTTGTGATGAAGACACTGACTCAGGAAGTGACATCAAGGTAAATTCAGGTCCTTCATTATCCTTTATTAGGCGGTTAAACTCTAATGTTATCACAAACACAGAATTATTTTGTCTTGAAATTAAATCTAAGTAAACAGAAATGATCATTTTTCCTCCTTTTTCAGACCTACCCTTTTGCTGAGCTTCATGTGTGCAGCTGAAAATTAGGAAGGTTTCCACAGGTTCAAGGTAGGTATCCAAAAGTATCTGATAGTACTCTAAACCTCTATGTGTTACACTTCACACAGAAAGGTGTGGCAATACATTGAATGTAATCATAATCCGCAAGTATAGTATTGTCTCAGTATTTTTTCATTTGCACTGGTCAAAGAAGTCACAGAGTGATGAAGCAAAACTCCATTCTTAACAAATATGGAAGTATCCAAACTTTGCCCTTTCATGTAAATTTAACCTATTGAAATGGGTCCTACCCCAGACTTAACTTTTTGACATGTGTCCATACTTAACCTATAGAGATATGCCTAAAATTCATATATTAGTACAATCTTAACCCATTGCCCAAACTTTGAATTTTGATACATGCCCAGATAATATTGACAAGTATTCAGACTTAACTTATTGAAACATATCTAGGCTTTTCAAACAAGCCTCGAATGAGCTTATTAACATATTTTGTCTGATATTACCTGTTGACTATATCCAAATGCGAAAAATTTTAAGGACTAGTAAGATAGTGAGTAACCTAGCTCCAGTGAAATGATTGTTTTGTGTAATGATATGACTGTAGTGCACTTTAGTGTTAAAGCAGACAGATGAAAAGTATACCATTCTTTTGTAGTTGATTTTGATTCAACAAAATTTAAATGTTAGTATATAACTGTGTTGACTTAACTTGATCAGTAACCATCAACTACTGGACTGAAATTGAAATAGAAATTAAGAAGAAGGCTACTTTTGTGAAAAAAGAAAATCCAATCCATATATTAATAAATTGTTTATATACTTTCAGCATTTGTCAAGAGTGAGCGTGTCGCACAGTTTCCCGGATTAAGCGTGAGGTACGTCCGCGGCTCAGACCCAGTCATCAAGTTGTTGGATGAGAGACGCAATGTGGTTGAGACTCTTGGAATTGACAAATGGAACACAGACTCTGTGGAAGCCTTCTTTCAAGAAAGATTGAAGTAAAGGGCTGGTCCCTTTATTTTGAAACACATGCCTCTAAAGTTTACTATCTGTTTCACAGAAATATTCTGAAATTATCATTGCTCTAGGTATATAATAGAAATGTCACCTGCTTAGACAGCAATATCATATTCTGGAGTACATGTGAAATTGGTGCAGAATCACTAGGCTCTCTATGAAGGTCTGGCAGTAAAGCCATACAGGTATGGCAGACTGGATGTCTACGAACCTATGATTCCTAACTTTTGTGGCATGATATTAATACTTGTATAATGAACATTTGATTAAGTTATTTTACATTGTTCAGATTTATACAAACATATGCATTATCACTGAATAAGAGACTTTCTGAAAAATGTGATTTTTTAAAAACAAAATTTTTAAGGCATTAATATTTGAGTTTTAAAAGTTTCCTTTTTCTGAACCTTCAAGCTTTGAGGATTAAAATTTGAGAACTATAATGACACTTGAACATAAATACATCTACATTAAACCATTGCTTTAATTCACTGTATGAGAGTGGAAGTACTTAAATCTATCAAAATCATATTTCATGATCATGTATGAATAAATCTAAAATTTAACATTGTTACAATTATGTTTGTCTTTATTTATTAATGTTATAAATCAATGCCAAGTTTTTGGTTTCTTGTTCAGGTAGACTTGAAATAAATGTTGCTTCTAATTCAGACAAGTTTGAACAAGTTATAGATTTTGATTTCTAATTCAGCCAAGTTTGAATTAATTATAGTTTCTAATATAGGTAGGTCTTGAAAAATAGTGGCTTCTTATTCAGGCAGGTGTGAACTAATTATAGATTTTAGTTTCTAATTCAATCAGGTTTGAACTAATTATACATTTTAGTTTATAATTTAGGCAGGTTTTGACTAATCGTGGCTTGTAATTCATGCAAATTTTAAGTAATAATGGTTTCTCATTCAAGCAGGTTTTGGAGTAATTATGGTTTCTAATTCAGAACTAATTAGAATTAGGTTTCTAGTTCAAGCAGGTCTGAACTTATTGGAATACGGTTTCTAGTTCAAGCAGGTTTGAACTAATTATGGTTTTATGCTGACAGGTTTGAAGTTTATACTTTTCTAGACTCCTCTTGTATTCCGTCATACAATCCACTATGAAATTGTTCTCATCTTCATTTTATTCACTGAACAGTTGGATTTGATACTGACAATGAAAGTTACATTTTTTAGATTCTCGTTTGTCATTTGCCAAGCAAGTTGTATTATTATCTACACTCCACTAGAACATAACTTATAGTTTAGTCACCATTTTCTTTGATTACACGCACAGGGTTACCAATCATAGGTGATTGAGTTATAATCTATCATTAATTTCAGCCAATCAACACATTAATTCAAGGTGTTAATTCCAAGTTACTGGAGCATGACCTTAGTGTTGTGTTAACAGAAACTACACTGAAAGCACTGTTTTGTAGGAGTTTAATCCAACTTAATTTTTACTTTCTTTTTAAACATCAATTGTTATAAAATGTGGAATTTCAAAACAATCATAGCACTTCCTTACAATCTTAACATGTAATACCTCATTCATTAAAGATAAGAAATATTAATTGCACCACTCCTTCTTTCTCACATCCTCACATCACCCTTACATACCGTTGTTCTGTTATCTGAAACAGACTTATTGTAAACACAGCTTTCATTATACATACTGATTTACTTAAGCTCTCATTCATATTCATGCTACATTTTTATTTCAAACATTGATTAAATATTCTGAAATTTCCAATGGATACTCTGAGGGGAAAAGTAGAATGGACAATCTGCCATACTCAGTTGACCTCTTTTTGTTGTTGAAGTAGAGTTGATAGTCTTCACAACAGAAGTTAAAGTATTTCAATGTTCCACATCTTCCTCTATTTTATGCTGTGATATTAAGGTACTTCAACCTTCATTTTCACTGACAATTCATGTAAAAACCAGAAAATCGCCAGTGTTTGAACTGCCAGCACAGTCTGATGCACACAACATGGAAACATGAAAAGATTTATCTCTGATGCTTTACTTTAGCACCTGTGTTACATACTCCCGCACAAATCGGAAGAACTCTGTTTCTTGACTGATTGCAAATGATGTTTGTGAGATGGAGCGTCCCAGGAGAGGAGCTCCTGATTGGGCTGTCCGTGGACTGAGACTGTTTGAACTGGTGTTAGGGGATGCCGGTGTTCCTTTTCTCAGATAACGTTCAAGCTCCTTCAAAAAGTAATTCTGTAAAGATAAATGCCTACTTTATAAAGTGTACTTAGTGTATCAAGACAAAGGTCAATATTTATGCGGGTAAAATCACCTGGTAAGGCACTATAGATTAGAGATAAACTGTGTCATATGATTTAACGTTTTGTTAATATAGATTGGAACCTAAATGTAGCTCACTTTGCAATAAATGCACAATCTTGAACATCCACAAATGAAGGTATTAATCCAATATTTATATTTTGGGTTTAGCAATATTTGATACAATACAACAGAAAGTGTTTCCATCAGGGTTTGAATGGCAAACATTAACTTCAAAATCTGCTCCTCTAGTAAAACAAGTACAGAAAATTTCATCCTTTCTCTACCAATAAAAATTTTGCTCATCTGAGCTCCCACACTAACATACATCTACCTCCCCATCATTACAAACAGAGCCATGACTGCCATTTACACCACAAAGGAAAGAAGTATGCTTCCAAGGTATTAACTTTGGCCCCGAATCAGTGACCAGTATTCCATCCTTGATATGCAACCTTGAAACATGTCATGTCAAAATGGAAGGTTCCATGTGTGATACCTTGTGGACAAGACTAGTTTAATCCTTTGCTGTACATCAAACAAATGTAAAGGTCGCATAACGGTATATTGTAATGGCTTTGAAGTTCGCAATCACTCCTTTGTAATCTTCAAATGGAGCATATTACCCGGAGATTGGTCAGGTTTTTTGCTTCTGGAACCAATCAAGTTACTTTGCTTGTGCCTTTAATTTTGCCATGACATATTTCAGGGATGCAGAGAGCTAAAATGATTGTAACCCCTGGAGTACCAAGGATGCCAGTATTATACTAATTGAAGTAAAACAAAGTTTCCCCTAGCGATATTACAGAAAAATAGCGATAGTAACTCAATATATATGAAAATGAAAGTTGACTTAAAAATTTTCATTTTTGAGAAAAAGCTGTGAAAAATTGAAAACAGATGGCAGACATTAGTCAGTAAGTGCAGTGTGTGACTTAATACGCCCCTAACCATCCAGTGAAATACACCAAGATAGCACTGTCTGAACTTAGAGATGTACCTGCCCTGTATCTTTAAACTTCATTTGCTTTTTTGATATTGAGATATCAACTCTTCACTCAAATAAGTATTTCTTTTACCATTTCAGTGCCTAGTTCTCTCTTCAGCAGCTGTTTATCTGTTGAAACGAGCTGAGGGTCTCGTAGATACCGTGTAGCCTGAGACATGATGATGTATAGGGCATTCTCCATTACATACAGCACCAGACTCCTGAAATATTCACAGAAATCCTCACATCAAAACAATCCTATATAAACCAAAGATGTTTAACATTATCATCCTCATACCCAATTTGCTAAACATAAGAATTTTACATAAAAATTCTCACAATCACAACTTTATAAACTTCACATAGAAATAGGACATTGATAACTGTTCTCTCTTTGTGAAATTATTTTACCTAAGACATCCTTTCTAACTAATAGTACCACGTACAATCTTCAAAAGTTCAAAGCTGAAAGAAACCTGGTCAAGTCTATCATTTAGATAAAAGGATACAGAAAATGTTCCATTGGCTGTAGAGTTTAGGGTCCAAGACTTAGTAAATTCTATACCTTCACATCAAAGAAACAAACATACATATGATATAAACTTTATTCAATTTACATTAATAACGAAACAAGTTTTTCCATTTATGCTAAGTCCTCATGTTGGACCAGATGTAAGTTTGTGAACACACTTGCTGTGGCCTGCTGTGTTTACACTTACTTTGGGATGATCTGACTAATGGCATTGACTGGAGAGACTGATCTCTGAGGAGAAGATCCTGGCTTAGGCTCCAACTGTCAAGTCAAATAGTTACATTATTTCAAGCAAATCATTTGTCTAAATTGAATCTACTGAAAAGAACATACCAAACCAAGACATCTTATGCTGCACTGAATAACATACAGTTGAAACTCATCTTGAAATTGGTTGAGTCGAAATTCTGTTTGAGTCGAAATAATTTTCAAGTCCCGATTTTTTCCTTCTATATCTATCATAAGAAGAGGCAGGGGGAAAGGACTTCAGTCAAATTTTAATGAGTCAACATGGTTACTCTTGTACATGTTTAAATTGATGGTCTAACTTACGCTATAGGTACACTTTTGATTTGGTTACTCTAGTACATATGTTAATTAGTGCCTTACCTTAGTAAGAAATTTGACACAAACATCACGGACACACGTGGTCAGTGTACCAAATGTGGGTGTGCTGTCTTGGTCCACTGAGGGCGCACTGAAGCCCAGCGCCAGAAATGGTTCATATTCACTGTAATCCATACTCTACAAACAAAATAACTTCATGGAACATCTCATGTAATGACCAAATAAAAAGAGAGAATACTAAGTGGTATCTTAAAAATCATAAACAATCTATGACACTTAACTTCAAAACAATAGGCCCAAAGGGCCTGTATTGTTCATCTAGCTTTGCATGGCTGCAATAACTTCATTAAAACTTAAAGAAAAGGAATTCTAAATATCCAAGCACACAACACAAAACATCTATTTTCCTATCGGACCCTCTGTCCTTTGGGGTCAGTCAAACCATCATATTTCAGACTTAATCATTCCTACATTTCAAAGAATCCATATTGGGCTAAGCCCCTCCTGCCCCAGGGTCTGTGGCCGACTGTTTACACAAAATTGATTCTCCTCCACCCAAGGATGCTTCACACTAAATTTGGACAAAATTCAATCATTACTACAGGAAGAGTAGGATTTTAAAGAACTTGCAAAAGTTCCCCTTTTGAGCCCTGCCCCTCAGACCCCTGCTGGCTGAAACCCACCATTTAGATAAAATTCCTTTCTCCCAACAATGCTTCTGACCAAATTTTTCGGCCAAATGTCCCTTCATCATTCATGACTAGTAGGGGAATGACCAATGGATGTATAGACAATGGACACTACAGTATGCCAATAGCTTACTTGGCTGTTAGGCCAAAAGACCATTACAACCATAAATGTATGCAAGCAGCATGATAATAGTCCTTCATTTGACTTTTGAAAATGATGTGTTTTAAAGTAAACAAGATATCACACAAAGTGCTAGTATGGAAAGTATTCTGAAGTATGAAGTAATGAAACAGACTTCAACTTCTATTTTGCATATTGATGTAATTGAAACAGAAGTGTACAAAGCGTCTACATATTCAATTGATTTATTCATTTATGTTTTCTTGTACAAGTTTTTTTATTCAGATCTCAGATACAACAGGAATATCAACTACATAAGGTATGGAACAGAAAGCACCATGATGTCTATTATCATAGATCTTCACCATTAACTATTAAAATCAATGAAGTTTGCATTCACATAGTACCTGTTCATACAGAATTTCCAGTAGATCTGGTGTAAATTGTCTTAAAGATGAAAAACTCATTCCTAGAATAGTCAGCATCCTGTGGAAGAAACAAATTTATAACATACTTCATGATGAAATAACAGGTATTAAGGTATAACCTAGTTAAGGTGTATGACAGCTTACCTTTGGTATGTAAACTTTGTTAAGGTATATGATAGGTTACCTCTGGGTCATAACCTATTGAAGGTAAATGACAGGTTATTGCTGGTGTATAATCTATTTAAAGTATTTTACAGGTTATCTTTTGGGTATACCTAGTCAAGGTATACATGAGGTTACCTTTGGGGTACAACATAGTTAAGGTATATGACAAGTTAGCTCTGGAGTATATGGGGTTTAACCTAGTTATAGTGTATGATCAGGCTAACTTTAAGATCTTGGTATGTTTGCTGTATGACCTTACCTGTGCTGTGTGTGGAGTAGCTGAGATGACGGCGTATCAATGTCCTCCATAGAGGACTGAGCCTGTAGACGTGGTTGTTTCGGGGAGGTAGACGTCCTTTCTCTGGTTTGACCTTTTTGACCACTGTGTTGCTGAAAATGAACAAAATACCTCAAATTAGAGATAGATGTAAATAAATCAGTTAATTTGTTATCAGCCTACAAGTCAACTACATACTGACTGATTCATTAAACACCTGGCTACCAAGTGATTACTAGATTGAATAATAAATAGATCAACCTAGTACTAACTTATAAGAGATTTCCATTAACATCAGACATCACAAATGACTTACCTCTATTATATGCTGTAGATATGTTGGCCAAATGAGGAATGCTATGAAGGACTGACTCATGTAAACCATGCTTGTCTGTCAAACAGAGAGGACATTAATTACATTGTTATAAACCTAATGTAGAGCTGAAGTGTGGTTTAAACAACTTCTATTATGATTAAATCATTATATTTTCACATATTGATATTAATGGGTATTACAGGTATATACGTCTATATAAGTGGTCTGCTTCAAATATAAGTCATTGAAGATTAAAGCAAAGATACACTCACACTAAATACACTTTGAAGCACTAACAATGCACTATAAGATAGTCTAAAGGAAGCCTAGAACAACAGAGCTGTAGATCCGCTATTTCAACTAGGTACTACAGATAAGGAAAGATTATCCAGTACTATAGTTCTTGCATGTTACACACTTAATTTAATTATCTCAAGGGCAAATAAGAAAAGAATATCGAGGCTTCTGATTGGGTAATCAATTTATGGAAAATACTGAATCTCTTGATATACATTTAAAGGAATCCAAAACTCTAGTAATACCATTAAACAAACACCATTAATACCATTAAACAAACACCATTAATACCGTTAAACAAACGCCATTAATACCATTAAACAAACACCATTAATACCATTAAACAAACACCATTCATACCATTAAACAAACACCATTAATACCATTAAACAAACTCCATTAATACCATTAAACAAACTCCAGAAATACCATTAAACAAACTCTAGTAATACCATTAAACCAACTCCAGTAATACCATTAAACCAACTACATTAATACCATTTAACAAACTCCAGTAATACCATTAAACAAACTCCATTAATACCATTAAATAAACTTCAGCAATACCATTTAACAAACTCTAGTAAATACCATTAAAGGACCTCCAGTAATACCATCAAAAAAAAGAATTCCACCAGTGATTAAGATTTATATATGGACCATGTCCGGAGTTAAACAGGTACCTGAAGTTTGACGAGCGAGTCCGACAGATGCAGCCTCCATTCCCGCGCAAAGTGTGACAGTTGGTGAATAAAGTCACATGTCTTTTCTGCCTCATACAGGGCTCCAGGAGTCAATGTGATTCGTGACAGCTCCAGACACTGAGTAAGCGACAACATAATCACACTAGCATCACAACAATAGGCCAAAGGATCTTAACTGTCACCTGAGTTACAATGCTTCTAGCAACATTAAAGGATTTTGTTAGAAATGTAAGATAGCTTTAATTACATTGTTACACATAATGCAAATAATGCATAACATGAACTGCTGTTCAATGCTAAAGCTTCTGACCAAGTTTGAATAAAAAAAGAAATTTTACTCAGAACATGAATTTTCCTATATAAAATCTTCCACAAACAGTAGAACATCTTTGAAATTTAAGTCAATTTGATCCATTTGGCCTCGCTCTTTTAGTGAGGTCAAAGGTCCTTTGATCAGTCATATTGCTTTGGGATATGACCTTTAAATCATAAGGTGAGGTCAAATGTCTGGTAAACAGGTCACTGCTTCAGAAAGGTGTATGACAAGACAGAATCCATTATATTGTTATCTAATTGTGTTAAATCCCTCTTACAGCACTTTTTGTTCTAACTATAAAAATCCAATCGTGTTTGAACTTTACATTTGTGGCACAAGTTTTTTGAATATATTAAATATTGTTATGCTATTTTCAATGATCATTTTTCAAAGACATAAACTAAACAATGAAAATCATATCATAAAACACCAAATATTGTCACAGGTAATTCAAGAGACTTGCCTGCTGCATCCGGTCCTGGTGAGCACCAACAAAGTGGAGGGCATCCTCGAGGAAGGAGTACTTCAGGGCAGACAGTACAGTGGCATACATTTCTACACAAATACAGTATATACCATGCCAGGTGGCCCTGGAATTCTGATGAAGTTCACCCACATCCTTCTATCAAAAGAAGACGATTCAATTAAATCCACTACATTACAAACTTCTGCTAAGAAATTTTTTAAAGTATTGAAAATTTAATGTCAATCTTAAATCCACTACATTACAAACTTCTGCTAAGAAATTTTTTAAAGTATTGAAAATTTAATGTCAATCCCTCCAAGTGTCCAATCTCAGTCCAGATATGGCTTGATATATCAATGAGTTTTCCAGTATGTCAGTAATCATTGGTTGTTTTAAAAGATAAAATTTCACTCAGTTTGATCAGAGGACTGAAACTGGTCATTATTGAATAGCAAGAGATAAGTCATCCCTTTCTACAATCTTTACAACTAAAATGTGTTAGTAGCAAAAATCCTCTTATTCTGCATGAACGAAAGGGCAATGTTGAGACTGATCCAGGAGACCTAAGATTTCGCGGCTGATTATAGATTTACCTAAAAAAGTGTATTTACAGACAAATTTAATGTAGGAACCACAGAGAAGCAGAATAATTTTCAGAGTGACTTACCCTAGCAGGAGCTCCTGGTTTGGCGAAAAGGTCACTATCTTGATACAAAGATATCATAGACAGACAGGTATACTGTGTAACACCACTCATAGCTAGAGCTTCAGCACCCTGCAAAATTCAACAGATATTGTGATGATATACGGACAGCACATTTCAATGATATAGATGTGAAAATTAGATTTGGTAACAGAATAGTCAACCTTGACTACTTTGAAGCTCAGCCATGGCAAATAACCATCAGTCACAATGCCACTTACCTTGTTGTATTTGGCAATGGTCAACAGTAGCAGAAAGACAGTCTGGACATAGTGTACAGCTTGTTTACCCTGAAAAAGTACAGTGTAAATTCAGTGAAAACTTGTCAGCTGGTTTAATACCATCAATTTCATCTAAACCTGGAAAACTGACTGGTGAGAAAGGGTTCTGTTCTGTGCCTGACAACAAATATCTTATCTATATGTAGTGAGTTAGATCTGGACCAATGGAACTCATTGAACACATATAGCATACTGCATAAAACACTGTGTGCATCACCATGTGAACTCTTTACATTTGGCTTCCTAGAAGACTTCTAATAACATGATACCCCAGAGGATCTTGGCGCCTATCAATAACTTGATCATTATTTGTTTTCTGAAAGTTGAATCTTTTATTTTCGTATTTCTTCTCTGTTTTTGCTCTCAATGATAAGAAATTTGAATATTCTTTTGCAGAAATAATAATAATTATCTTTAACTGCCAAATCCAAGATGGCCCCCTGTCTGCCATTTTTGTTTTTTTCTGATAAGTCCTAAAATCAAGAAGGCACAACTAAGGACCAAGAGAAACCTATACATGATGGAAGAGAAAGATTTATGAAGTAGTTCTCAAGAAATAGTGATAACAAACTTTCAAAGTCAACATCCAAGATGGCCGCTTGTCAGCCAATTTGTTTTTCTGATCAGATCCATAATCAAATGGAAACAAACATGGACCAATGAGAACCTACACCATCTGATGATGGTGGGCTAAAAACATGCATGGGGTGAAGGAAAAATTTGGTATATTGACCTTGATGAAGACTTCCATGGAGGCCATGAGTGTGGGCAGGATGAAGTGTTCTTGTAGAACAGGTAGCCACATCTCACTCCTGTCACACTGTAGGATGAGCTCCTCCAGCAGACAACAAGTCACAATCTGCATCTGCAACACCAGAAACCCATGTCATCCAAACTAGATACAAAACATCACCAGTGTCACCAAAACTAACCAAATATATAGATATGCAAAGATAGTCAGCGTAATATGGAATTTATCAAACAAGTTAGATAATCTGATACATCACAAGCCTTTAGGCATAAATGATGTCACAATAGTATTATTACATATTACAAATATTTATACATGACGGTATGACATAACAGTATGACATGACACAACAGGCCAGAGATTATAATCTTACAGTGTATAGCTGGTTATTTTTATGGAGCTGATATTTTCATTATTTTCTCGAAAAAGGAAACCACGAAAATTTTGACTCATGAAAATCACTTTTCTAAAGGCATTTAATCCAACATAGTTCATCAAACATGTAAATTTTGACTCATGAAAATTACTTTTCTAAAGGCATTTAATCCAACATAGCACATCAAACACCAGTCTAACCTTCAATCTTATATTTCCAGCTGCCAGTTCTCCTTGTGTGTCCTTCTGATCAACAAGGTCTTGTGGAGAAGGGAGCTGGCGGGTGCTCTGAAGAAGGACTGCACATGTAGTAGGGAGGATGACAGACAGGTACTTGTCAGGGCTCATTTCTACAACACAGTGGATGGAGAATAAGAAGCTATTATATCTGGCCTTTTCCACAAATATATACCATGATAGACAATATTGTAAAAAAAATACCCAACATAAACAAATTTGTGATCTTACTTAACAATCAAATCAGGCTGTAATGCTTTATAGCACCAGAATCATGTTACAATATGCACACAAACTTACCTTTGTCAGCTTTGACTCAGGTGATAATAGAATTGACTATGACCAAGTTGAGTCGAGTGTGCTGTATAATGGTGATGACAAATTAACCAACAAATGAGTTGAGTTGAAGGTGTTGTATGATTGCTGTGACAGACTTACTAACAACTGAGTTGAGTCGGTGTGCTGTATAATGGCAGTGACAGACTTACCAACAACTGAGCTGAGTCGAGTGTGTTGTATGACAGTAATGACAGACTTACCTATGACTAAGCTGAGTCGAGTGTTTTGTATGATGGCAGTGACAGACTTATTAACAACTGAGCTGAGTTGAGTGCGTTGTATGATGACTGTGACAGACTTACTAACAACTGAGCTGAGTTGAGTGTGTTGTATAATGGCAGTGACAGACTTACTAACAACTGAGCCGAGTTGAGTGTGCTGTATAATGGCAGTGACAGACTTACCAACAACTGAGTTGAGTCGAGTGTGATGTATAATGGCAGTGACAGACTTACCTACGACTGAGTTGAGTCGAGTGTGCTGTATAATGGCAGTGACAGACTTAACTACGACTGAGTTGAGTCAAGTGTGCTGTATAATGGCAGGGACAGACTTACCAACAACTTAGCTGAGTCGAGTGTGTTGTATAATGGCAGTGACAGACTTACCAAAAACTGAGTTGAGTCCAGTGTGTTGCATGACAGCAGTGACAGACTTACCTACAACTGAGCTGAGTCGAGTGTGTTGTATAATGGCAGTGACAGACTTACCTACACTGAGCTGAGTTGAGTGTGCTGTATAATGGCAGTGACAGACTTACCAACAACTGAGCTGAGTCAAGTGTGTTGTATGATGGCAGTGACAGACTTACCTACGACTGAGCTGAGTCAAGTGTGTTGTATGATAGCAGTGACAGACTTACCTACAACTGAGCTGAGTCTGGTGTGTTGTATAATGGCAGTGACAGACTTACCTACGACTGAGCTGAGTTGAGTGTGTTGTATGACAGCAGTGACAGACTTACCTACGACTGAGCTGAGTCGAGTGTGTTGTATGATGGCAGTGATACTTCCCAGCAGTCCCACCTGAATCGGCGGGATCAGAGTTTTACTATTAGACAGAGTATGAACTATAGCTGCCTGTAGCTCCTTAATCATCCTTGTCTGGTTACTCAGAGAACTACAACAAAGAAAACATAAATACAGACAATTTGAGATGTGGAAGTGTATTTTTATCTGTCAGTATTTCAACATTCTTTAACTTTAAATATGTATAAGTCAAGCTGGAATCAATGTTTTACTTACCTGGTCCAAAGTTTGATCAGGTTGAAGAGGAAAGCACTTGATATCTGTGCCAGTTTGATGTTGAGTGCAGAAAAATCACCCACAACCTGATGATACACAACAGAGATAATATTCAGTCAAACCTGTACATGACAGATACTTTAACCAAGAGAAAAGCAACCATATATGTTTCTATACCCAAAGATAGAAAGATCGGGGCATATCATTTTAAAGCTGTCTGTTTGTTTGTCTGTTTTTCTGCCATAACTATTGCACTTTAAGAGTAAGGGATTTTATATTTGGCATGTGTATTCCTTTTGATAAGACCTTTATAGTGGTACCAAAAATTTCCACCATGTGACCTTGACCATGACCTTTGACTAACATTTGAAACTTAAAAAAAATTCATTACCACAATGAAGGCATAAGTGTATCACAAAGTGCGCATACAATTAGTACAAGCCTCACACAGCACAGTTTGAATGTCCCACTTCAGGATTGTGTTGCAACTGGGGTCATAGTGTTTCACAAGCACATCTTGTTTAGAGAGGGACTAACTTGTTCTACAGCTGGTCTCTATAGATCTTTACAGACAGGCACTTTCTTCTGTCATAGATGTCAAATTTACAGACACAGGCTTACTTCATAGATGAATGTGGTCTTTATTGACAGCTACTTAATTTTACATACAGGTGGTTGTTATAAACAGGGACTTATTACTTAGCAGTAGTCCTCATAGACAGAAGCCTACTTCATAGGAGACAGGCGGTTGTTATAGACAGGGACTTATTTCATAGCAGTAGTCCCCATAGACAGGGACACGGACAGGGGCTGACATGACAGACATGTGGTCTTTATAGACAAGAAATTCCTTAACAGATGGGTGTGGTCTTTATAGACAGGGGGGGGCTTCCTTCATAAAAGATGGTTTTTACAGACAGGTACATACTTCATAGATAGATTTGGTCTTTGTTGACAGCATTGTACTTAAAACAGTTTATTTCATGTAGCAACAGCTTTACTTTATAAATAGATTATTTTTACAATAGCTTTCACTTTGTATGTACATCATGCAGAAATACCAACAAATCCAAAAATTCATACACAAACTGTGTTTTCAGCATTTTAACACTCAGTATATGATCAGTGAGAGACCTAACAAACAACTTTCCAGCACCTGTAGACCTTGTGTTTTCAGCATTTTAACACTCAGTATACAATCAGTGACAGACATAACAAACAACTTACCAGTGCCTGTAGACCTTGTGTTTTCAGCATTTTAACATTCAGTATACGATCAGTGACAGACATAACAAACAACTTACCAGTGCCTGTAGACCTTGTGTTTTCAGCATTTTAACACTCAGTATACGATCAGTGAGAGACCTAACAAACAACTTTCCAGCACCTGTAGACCTTGTGTTTTCAGCATTTTAACACTCAGTATACAATCAGTGACAGACATAACAAACAACTTTCCAGCACCTGTAGACCTTGTGTTTTCAGCATTTTAACATTCAGTATACGATCAGTGACAGACATAACAAACAACTTACCAGTGCCTGTAGACCTTGTGTTTTCAGCATTTTAACATTCAGTATATGATCAGTGACAGACATAACAAACAACTTACCAGTGCCTGTAGACCTTGTGTTTTCAGCATTTTAACATTCAGTATACGATCAGTGACAGACATAACAAACAACTTACCAGTGCCTGTAGACCTTGTGTTTTCAGCATTTTAACATTCAGTATACGATCAGTGACAGACATAACAAACAACTTACCAGTGCCTGTAGACCTTGTGTTTTCAGCATTTTAACACTCAGTATACGATCAGTGACAGACATAACAAACAACTTACCAGTGCCTGTAGACCTTGTGTTTTCAGCATTTTAACATTCAGTATACGATCAGTGACAGACATAACAAACAACTTACCAGTGCCTGTAGACCTTGTGTTTTCAGCATTTTAACATTCAGTATATGATCAGTGACAGACATAACAAACAACTTACCAGTGCCTGTAGACCTTGTGTTTTCAGCATTTTAACATTCAGTATACGATCAGTGACAGACATAACAAACAACTTACCAGTGCCTGTAGACCTTGTGTTTTCAGCATTTTAACATTCAGTATACGATCAGTGACAGACATAACAAACAACTTACCAGTGCCTGTAGACCTTGTGTTTTCAGCATTTTAACACTCAGTATACGATCAGTGACAGACATAACAAACAACTTACCAGTGCCTGTAGACCTTGTGTTTTCAGCATTTTAACACTCAGTATACGATCAGTGACAGACATAACAAAAAACTTACCAGCACCTGTAGACCTTGTGTTTTCAGCATTTTAACACTCAGTATACAATCAGTGACAGACATAACAAACAACTTACCAGTACCTGTAGACCTTGTGTTTTCAGCATTTTAACACTCAGTATACGATCAGTGACAGACATAACAAACAACTTACCAGAGCCTGTAGACCTTCTATTAAGTCCACCATGATCACTTCTTTTAGACTGTTGTTCATCTTCAACTCATCAATCTACAAAATCAAATCAAATGATATCGGCTGAATCATACACATAATGTCTCATCAATAAGAAGCAGGCTGTCTTCTGTAAACTTTTTATACTGATATACATTGAAGAGGCAGCAATGATCTAATCATAAGTTCAGTGATGGTGACGATTTTATCATCAGTTCAGTAATGATTTTATCATCAGTTCAGTGATGACTATCACCAGTTCAGTGATGATTTTATCATCAGTTCAGTGATGACTATCACCAGTTCAGTGATGGTGACGATTTTATCGTAAGTTCAGTGATGATTTTATCATCAGTTCAGTGATGACTATCACCAGTTCAGTGATGATTTTATCATAAGTTCAGTGATGACTATCACCAGTTCAGTGATGATTTTATCATCAGTTCAGTGATGACTATCACCAGTTCAGTGATGACTATCACCAGTTCAGTGATGACTATCACCAGTTCAGTGACGATTTTATCATCAGTTCAGTGATGACAATGATTTACTGGCTAACTCATTGATGGTAATAACTTTATCATCAGTTCTGTGATGACTATCACCAGTTCAGTGATGACTATCACCAGTTCAGTGATGATTTTATCATCAGTTCAGTGATGACTATCACCAGTTCAGTGATGACTATCACCAGTTCAGTGACGATTTTATCATCAGTTCAGTGATGACAATGATTTACTGGCTAACTCATTGATGGTAATAACTTTATCACCAGTTCAGTGATGACTATCACCAGTTCAGTGATGATTTTATCACCAGTTCAGTGATGACTATCACCAGTTCAGTGACGATTTTATCATCAGTTCAGTGATGACAATGATTTACTGGCTAACTCATTGATGGTAATAACTTTATCACCAGTTCAGTGATGACTATCACCAGTTCAGTGATGATTTTATCACCAGTTCAGTGATGACTATCACCAGTTCAGTGATGACTATCACCAGTTCAGTGATGATTTTATCACCAGTTCAGTGATGATTTTATCATCAGTTCAGTGATGACTATCACCAGTTCAGTGATGACTATCACCAGTTCAGTGATGACTATCACCAGTTCAGTGATGACTATCACCAGTTCAGTGATGACTATCACCAGTTCAGTGATGATTTTATCACCAGTTCAGTGATGACTATCACCAGTTCAGTGATGATTTTATCATAAGTTCAGTGATGACTATCACCAGTTCAGTGATGACTATCACCAGTTCAGTGATGATTTTATCATAAGTTCAGTGATGACTATCACCAGTTCAGTGATGACTATCACCAGTTCAGTGATGATTTTATCACCAGTTCAGTGATGACTATCACCAGTTCAGTGATGATTTTATCACCAGTTCAGTGATGACTATCACCAGTTCAGTGATGACTATCATCAGTTCAGTGATGACTATCACCAGTTCAGTGATGACTATCACCAGTTCAGTGATGATTTTATCACCAGTTCAGTGATGACTATCACCAGTTCAGTGATGATTTTATCACCAGTTCAGTGATGATTTTATCACCAGTTCAGTGATGACTATCACCAGTTCAGTGATGATTTTATCACCAGTTCAGTGACGATTTTATCACCAGTTCAGTGATGATTTTATCACCAGTTCAGTGATGATTTTATCACCAGTTCAGTGATGACTATCACCAGTTCAGTGATGACTATCACCAATTCAGTGATGACTATCACCAGTTCAGTGATGACTATCACCAGTTCAGTGATGACTATCACCAGTTCAGTGATGACTATCACCAATTCAGTGATGACTATCACCAGTTCAGTGATGACTATCATCAGTTCAGTGATGACTATCACCAGTTCAGTGATGATTTTATCACCAGTTCAGTGATGGCAATGACATGAGTGATACTTAACAAGAAGAAATAGAAACAAAATTCAACACTAGTTTTGTAAGGAAGTTGCTATAAAATTTACAACAAATTTGTGATCTTTTACCTTAAGTTTAGCAATGGTTATCACAAAGTTTTTCCAGGCCATGAGGAGCTGAAGAGTTGGGTGATCTGCCAGGTTGTCTGTTGAAGATTCTGACTCAGTTTTCTCTGCTTGTGCCACCACCCTGTCTCGTATGTACTACAGGAGAACAGACAAATAGTACATAGTCTTAAACACTTGTACAAATTTTAAGATTTTTTAATTGTAATTTCATGCTTATTTCAGATATCCAAGTTCCTGAAAATTTCAGGCCTGTTTCTTTTCAAAATATACAAGACACAATCAAATAACATAACAAATATAATTTCAATTCTAGGGCCTTGTAAACAAAATTTTCAATTACTTCATCATCAGCAATATCAGTTATAACTGTTACTAATGTTTACACCAGACCAACATGTACACTGAACTAACACTTACACCTGTTCAATTCCTAGTCTGGACATGCACTTATTAACACCTATTCAATATATTTAGAACACTGGACTAAAACTTACATTTATTCATTAATTACACTTTACCGATACTTGGGGCTATTCAATACTTACACTAGACCAATACTTCCAGCGGTTTGCATCACTGATATCAGTTAAAACCTTTTTCAATTTGCTGTCAAGCTTTGCACTGAAAGGAAAAACAATAAACCATTGAAGATATAGACATGGCAATGTGACAAAACTATTCAAAACTTTTTTATGTCTCCAAACAAACTTTCCATCTCAAATTTTTTCATGAAAACATGAAAATTTTTTTTTCAAACTGGTAAAATATTTAGAGATTGTTCTTTCATATTGTTTGTCAGAAATTATTCCTGATGTAACATCAAATTCAATCTCTCACAAAAATTCTCCAACAGCTTCCGGATGGTTTTTAGTGGTATGTTAACCAATTGAAGAAATTGCCTGTTCTCTAAATATTGCTTTACCTTCATTTCGTAAAACAATTGATTTCCTAGAGAATATATGAATTATGCCTCTACTCCCACTTAGTCAGAAACCACACTAATTGTGAATCCTAAGTTAACTTTTAAAATTTTGTCGCCTTCTTACCTGGTAACAGTGTATATCTCCTCTGAAAGTATCCTCAAAACAAAGGCAATTGTTCGTACCTGATCGGGCACAGCAATCTACAAATACAAAGTAAGTCGTCAGGCATATCTAGTATGTTAAACTCTGTAATGCATCCAACAAAATCCGACTCTCTGTAACCTGTTTTTTTCAAACTTTTTGTTTTGGCTGCTAATAACATATCCCCAATTGATATTGCTAAAGTCAGAAGCACTGTATATCCTTATTAACATGAGGAAAATGGAGAAGTATCAATAAGATATTTGCCAAGATGATAAAATACAGAACTAATGTAATTAAACTGAATTTAGTATACTGCACCTTCTCTCAGTATGACAAAAGCATACACCAAGTTTCATGCTCCTAGTATTAATGCAAGCAAAACTATGCTCACAACACAAAATTTTAACAAAAGGCAATAGATTAGTACTGTGGGTCAAACTTTGCTACAATGCATCTTGCTTTTGTATGACTGATGTATACGTCACATTTCAATATCCTAGTTTAAATGCAGGTAAAGTAATGATCTGTACACAAAATTTCAACAAAGGGCGAGAACTCTGTAATTAAGGGGTTGAGGGCCCTAACATTGGTACACTGCACCTTGTCTTTGTATGTTCAATGTATACACTAAGTTTCATTATCCTAGTATATGTGCAAAGTCATGCCCTGAACATTAAAGAATGGACAGACAGACGGACGGATGGATGGACAGACAAGGCAGCATAATAAAAACAAGCCAAAGTATTGTTAACCATGCCAAAGTTTTCCGTTGGTGATGAAGAGGTTTAATATATAGTGGACGCACTTAACTTCAGTGTTGGTCTATAATTGGTAGAGGATGCAAGAATGGAGTATAAATACCTGTGAATCGTCTTCCTCTCCAGGGGCCGGCAAGTTTCTCATCAGGGGGGCAGATACACTCAGCCAAAAGTTGGCCCTGCATAAGAAGCATTTCAAATCGTTTATCATTTTTAATTCCAGAAGTTGAAACTTAATTATACTTCATAATGCAAACTAGGAAACAATTAAATTCCTGGAACACATTTAAACAGCATTTTAAGGGAAAATATCACTTAAAACTCTGTGTGTGGTAAGGAGTGGGGTGAATGTTGTTGTGTTAATGAAAAAGGAGATAACACTGACAGAACACAGGCAGGAACAGGTGTTGACTAAATGGAATACCAACTATAGAGATGACTGGTATTTGGGACATTGGAGTTGGTAGTGGCTTGAGAGTGAGACATGAGAATAAGTAATAGCTAGATTGTGGGACAATGTGAATTTTACATAATTTAACAACATAGGGTTTAGTGGAAAAGTGGAAAACAGATAGTGGGGAAGTGTAATTAGTGTTAGCTGGATATCAGGACTCTAGGATGAAAATGACAGAGTAGTGGAACAGTGAGGTAGCTCAGTAATGCAGCCGTGGGGTTAGATGTTGCTGACTTACATTGGCAATGGTCCAAGCCAACCGGAATCCTTATCTTACCTTGCTCTGAGTACAGACATGGCAGTGTCCCTAAGCCCTGCCCACAGAGCGTGTATGAAGTCCATGCAGGCACACAGCAGATCTGGGGGACACATGTACTCGCCCTGCTTCTTAACATCCATCAGATCTAGTACTGTCTGGAGACAGCTAGTTTTACCCAATGATAAATCCTGAAAAAAGAAACATCAAAAAGAATGAAAACAGTTTGCTGTATTTGATGTCAGATCCAAAGAAGAAGAAAAACTTAGTTTTGATTGAAAAAACTAAAACCTGCCTCAGCTATGATTTTACAATAGAATCTATATAAAAGTGATGGCATCAAAGCTTAAGATACCTTTTTATTGGCGCGTGATGTAGATGTATCTGAGCCCATTGCTATGGAGGACTCAGCTGGCTGGACATTAAGGAAGATCTCTATAAGGCCTGGCTGGGCCTCCACACAAACAGAGAGCAGCTCAAGGATAACTACCTTCAGACGCAGATCCTTAATAGAAAAAGGTGGTCACAAGTGTACTGGTAGTAAAGGTATCACGTGACAGGAAATCAACAGTTAATGGACAGGAAGTAAACATATCACAAGACAGGAAGTTAACAGTTCAGTGTACAGAAGGTCAATAGTTCATCTGAAAGAAATACCAGTTTATGTAATGAATTGTTCAATGAAGAAATAATAAGATAAAAATACAACAATGATATTATCTACAGGTAATCCATTATAATACTGAAAGTAACATGGGATAATTACCTCTGTGACAGCATGTAAACGAGAGAGGTACATGTCCCTGATGGTCTCTGCATCGCCACCAAGACATGCCAAGATGGACATTCGTGACACCTGTTAGGTATATACAGACAAGGTAAATTATGTGGTTATTTCATATATTTGCTAATGTTGCATCATACAATACCAACACATTCAATTCATGTTAATATATCTGACTACCATAAAGCTTTCCCATACATCAGCACTTTAAAGTTTGTTACATAACTACTCATAGCCATTTATACAAGAAGAGTCAGCACTTGTTCAGAAACAGGTTTCTCAAGAAAACTACAACAGATGATTTTTTTTACAAAATGGTCATGTACCTGCTGATGAGCAGGAAGACAGGTATCTGACGGGGTCTAATCTACAACCTACCAGAGCCAATCGTTTGAGGAGAAGACAGGCAAGAGCAGGCAGTCTTGGATTGTGTTTGTGATAAATGTAACTGGCAATGGTGGCTACAATGTGTTGTGTCTGTCTCCCCGCAGGCTGTGAGGACAGGGCACTCTCCAATGGGGACAGCGGCTGATCAGGAGATTTCAGAAGCAGCAGACGATTTAGGACGGAGAATGACATCTGTACCAGCTGTATCATCTCTGCTCCTGTACCAGCTTCCACAAAACTGTAATACACCAGCCAACTCAATATCATTAATGTTAAAGTTAACAATGAAATCAGACATCAGGTGAAAAGTCAGGATATTTCTTAAATTTTACTAATCAACAGATTATGAGCAACACAATATATGATCATCAGATTGGAATCAATATTTTTTACTTGCCACTAATTGATGTTATCAGATCATCAGTACACCACTAGGCACCAGCCTAAACAATATGATATACCCCCTAACAGACAGTACTAACATTTACAAGTAATATTACTGTGTATCCTCCACCACAATGTACCTCATTAGTCACAATAGATTTCAACACCTTCGAATGTCAGGTTTGGTACATAGGTGTACAGAATATGATCACTAACTTGTAATATCTTCCATGCTGAAATAAATCCACATAATCAGTACTAACCTTCCCTGTTGTAGGAGAGCCATTTCTATGGTGTCTGCTCCCATGGCAATGAGCTCCAGAAGTGAACGGCCAGCCTCCGTAAACAACAGACTGTACACACACACTTCCTGTAGATGAGGTCTGCCAATGCAAATTGCAAAAGGAACCAGGTGGATTTCAGTACAAAAACACAAGAATTTTGAATAAGAAAACTATCTAATTCAAAATCTGAATTTCTCACTGATGACACATCTATAAAGCCACAAGGTTTATACCCAAATACATTTCAAATGTTATCGCCTGTTTATTCACACATACCACCATATATATACAGGTACATACACACACAGATATATATATATATAAGTATATACACTCTCTTGGATAAGGATTAATCAAAGGCCTGGATTATCTAAACTGGTATAACCCAAAAATACACACACTTTCAGCTTATACATTAATCAGCGTAAAACTGTAACTGTCAACAGTTAGTCGAGTGTTTTCATATCCTTACAGTTATGAAGGAAAACTCTTCCTACCTGTTGGACTTCTTTTTCCTGTTTTCGGTCAAAAACGTCAGGATTTGGTGAAATATGTCAAGACACTTTTGCCCTAAAAATCAACACAGTAAAAAGGTATAGGTATTTTGGAGTTCTACTCTCTGTGTTGGATCGCCATACAATCTCCTAAAATTTAGTAAGATTAAATAATCCATATTTTGAAACATATTACAATAGAATGTCCCATCAATTAACAACAAAAGAAAAAACAATCATACATCTTAGAAATATTTATCTGTCTGTATTGGGAGAATTGAATGTGACGTAAGTAATCAGTATATCTAATTAACTATCAATGTTGTAAAACCATTGTGAAATATTCCTTGTGTGGACAGATAAATCAACAAATCAACAACTCTAAAGGACATAAAGTAAAGATTTTTCTGAGAATATCTTACTGAAGTCATCTTAATAGCCAAATTGTAAATAATTCTTTCCTCTATCACAGCAAAGAGGACAGATATTTTCCGATTCCTTCCTTTATCACAGTAATAAAGACAGATAATCTTATACTTCTTCTGACCATATCTTACCAATGGTCTCCCTCTTTGCTGAGCTGTAATAACGCCACTTCTGGAACACAGGGAACACTTCTCGTAAAAAATAAAGGATGGGGGCCATCAGGTCATTCTCCCTCTCCTTTGCGAAAAATGGCTGTTAAAACAAACAGTATAATTATAAAATTCTGCGCATATCAAATAAAATTCTTACAGAATTTTGATTGGTTCTATAGCTTCATATCAAGAGACAACTTTCATGCAAAATTTTCAATTACTGTAAATCAATTTGAATCTACAATTCAGATAGACAATTTAATACCAACCTTTATGAAGCAGCTGATAAAGTCAAGGAATGCCATGGTAACAGGATATCGGCCTTGGTTACATTCATATCCTGCCAGGATAGCTCCATATAAGCCTGCACTAAGACCCTGGCCACTGTAACACACAGAGTAATGTTAATCCACCACACAGAACCTGACCACTGTAACACACAGTGTAATGTTAATCCACCACACAGAACCTAGCCACTGTAACACACAGTGTAATGTTAATCCACCACACAGAACCTAGCCACTGTAACACACAGAGTAATGTTAATCCACCACACAGAACCTAGCCACTGTAACACACAGTGTAATGTTAATCCACCACACAGAACCTAGCCACTGTAACACACAGTGTAATGTTAATCCACCACACAGAACCTAGCCATTGTAACACACAGAGTAATGTTAATCCACCACACAGAACCTGGCCACTGTAACACACAGCGTAATGTTAATTCACCACACAGAACCTAGCCACTGTAACACACAGTGTAATGTTGATCCACCATTCACACCCTGACCACTGTAACACACTGTGTAATGTTAATCCACCACACAGAACCTAGCCACTGTAACACACAGCGTAATGTTAATTCACCACACAGAACCTAGCCACTGTAACACACAGCGTAATGTTAATTCACCACACAGAACCTGGCCACTGTAACACACAGAGTAATGTTGATCCACCACACAGAACCTGGCCACTGTAACACACAGTGTAATGTTGATCCACCATTCACACCCTGACCACTGTAACACACAGTGTAATGTTAATCCACCACACAGAACCTAGCCACTGTAACACACAGTGTAATGTTAATCCACCACACAGAACCTGGCCACTGTAACACACAGTGTAATGTTAATCCACCACACAGAACCTAGCCATTGTAACACACAGAGTAATGTTAATCCACCACACAGAACCTAGCCACTGTAACACACTGTACATAAACTTTTGAATATCTATATTTTTTTTAAGTGATGAAGTATAACAAATCACAAATATAATAACTGAGGTGACATATAATTTGTACAGTAAAACAGTCGCTTTAATGGACTTTGGGTGTAAAAGAGAATAAACTGGGGGACTGGTGTAAAAAGGACGAGGAGACATTGAAGTGTTGGGAGGAAACAAGACAGTACCTGCGGTAGTATAGATCTCTATTTACCTGAGTACCTCTGCTAAGTTGTCCACATTTTCTGTGAGGTAGGGAACCATCCCGGTCTGCTTCATGTTATGCCAAACCTGAGGGTAGAACATTGGAACATGGTAAGACTCTACTGTAATCTATCTTGAAAAGGCATAATATTTGTAAAATAAAAAAAAACCCAACTGTTTAGATAAGCCTTATACCATCTGTTCAGAATATCAATAATTATGAAAATATTTTGTTAAATCCTTTCAATCACAAGTTCCTACAACTTACTTGGCCCTCTCTCAAGATGGTTTGAATACTTTTATTCAAAAATGATTCAAATAATCTAATGCTTTCTTTTCTTGGTTTCTTCTTTAAGTTGAAGTTGGTCAAGTGGGGTGAATTCAGTATGAAAGGTCATACACTAATTCTGATAGAAGACGTTAAATTTTTTGCCAACATTATACATAGTTAATTGAGATAAAAATAATTAACTCACGAATGAATTAGACATGAATGCTAGGATGAAAAGGCTTAAAAGAACAGTTACTACAATTACAGAGTTAACAAACTAAGGCAAGCAATCAGCAATCCAGGTGTCGTTACAGGAAAGGGGAGGTAAAATCTACCAGTAACAAAGTAAGAGATGATTTATGAGTTGTGTAATTTCAGTCATTTTAGCATTGAATCATACCTTGGTAGGGTGTTTTCTTGCCACACTGGTCAGACACTGGATACATGATGTCATCAGGTCAAGTGGTGGTGGATTAAAGCTAGCAAACCTGTAGAGGGACACACAAACCAATCAAAAATCATACACGGTACTTCTTATTCACATATAGGTATAGGCTGACTCAGACAGATAACATTTAAAGCTGACTCAGGTTACAGTTGAAAGAGAAATGTCTTAACCTCACCTGTGAATAAGCTGGCTCAGATAACAGTTATTGGAGAAATGCCTTAATCTCATCTTTGAGTAAACTGACTCCAGTAACAGTTATTAAAGAAATGTCTTGATTTCACCTGAGAATAAGCTGACTTTGGTAACAGTTATTAGAGAAATGTTTTTAATCTCACCTGTGAATAAGCTGATACAGACATTCAATGATCTGGTCGAGTTCCTCCATAGACTCAGGGTAAGCTCCAAGGACAGCTCCCACCATCTCCACTATAAGAGTCACCCTAGATACCTGGACTAGTGAGACCATTCCTACAAGGTTTGATAAAAGTCATCTCCAAAGTTATTCAACCCTAATTTGTTTTCCTAACACAATCTTGCTTCTATTCATATTTACTATCATTTCTTTTACAATCTATTATTTCAGTCTTGTTCTACCTATAACAATAACAACTTATGGTATACTTGATGCATAACCCAAATGAAACAGCAGTAAAAGGTGAGGTCTAGTTTAAGAAATAAGATTTTCAAGTGTGATTTTCCAATAAATTTCTGGTCTCCAAATATGTAATAGATATTTTTTCTAGGAGTACCTGCACCCAGTGATATCTGTTGTAGCAGTGTTTCTATCTCGCACAACAAAAGTTCCCAGCCATTGAACTCAACATCCCACTGTATGATAGGGCTTTCAGTATCGTCTCGCTTTCCTACAACATCAACATCATACATCAAACCAGATATTTTTGTAATGCAATGATAAAATACACAAGAAAAAAGGCTACATATTTTATACAGTAAAATTGTTTAAGGTGTCCATTTTATTATCTAAGTTTTCAGCTTCAACCCTGTACAGGGACTTACCTCAGGTACTGTACAGAGGTTATGACAGTAAATCTTAAATTTCATTACGGTAGAATAACAGAAATTCCAACAAACACTTGAGGAAAATTATGACATTAATTCAAATGAAAATAAAGAAATTTTCTATAATCATCTTCAAGTTCTCATACCTGGCAAACACTGTCCAAATGATCCAGCATCTATCTTAAAACTGCCTGAAAAGACATCCAACACTTTGTTAGTAGGAAAACATAATTCTGGTAGAGGTATCTCAACGAAGTGCCCCAAATCCCTCCTCAACCCTCCCCTACCGAAAAGATAGTAATACCAGGAATGGACCTCAACTGCAATATCTCCCCCCTTCCTTACTTGCCACTCCTAATGCATACAGCTTTCCCTATCAAAAAAACTCGGATCAGTGAAACATTAATTCATCCTTGATTTTGATAATTTGTTTGATAGGTCTATCACCCCGTGAACAGCCAGGGTCAATATGAGGCAGAATCTCCTTGTAGTAGCTGAAAGCTACCTCACTAAACAACATACAGGAGGCCAATCACAAAAAGGGTAAAGTGTCTTGTCAATGGACACAGAAACATCAGCACTGACTGGTTTGTTTCTCAACTTCCTGAGAAACACAGACAGCCATAGGTAAGGAGCATAAACCATACACCTCAGATCTTCACCTGAATTTGTATTGACCAATGCTCTGTTAAGAACTACTACAGTCTCTATTTTGAGTAGAAATAAAACATAAAAACAATTACAACTACCTGGTATCATGTTAACTATGAAACTTGTAGCAGAATTATCTGTGGAAATATTAACAGATTACACTATACAGTTATGTGTTTTGTACGAGTACCTCCTGGGTAAGGGATTTTGTTTCTCGCCAGCTGCCATATGAGTGGATCCTTGGTTTGGTTTATATCTGATACACTATTTCTATCCAGGAACTCTGTATAACATGGAAGCTTTCTCCAAACTTCTACAATCTACAAATTAAAACAATTCGATATAATATGAAATTTTTCAACTTTCTTCAACACCAAAATTTTGTACAGGTCATTCAGTTGTATAAGAATTACCATAACCTTGAACACTGTCATCAATCTGTGATGTAAGTTTTGGGGAAAAATAAGCTTTAAAACAAAGATGTAACTATCAACATTAGCAATTGTACTTAAATTTAAATACAAACAAAATGCATTTAAATTTTTGCTGCATTTTGAATTTATATTGCATAAATTGTTATTACACTTGCTCTAGTAATCTCAGAAATACTGCATCTTTAGGTAAAACTTTTCAACAATTGAAACAAAACTTTTGAAGTGTTGAGTCAGTATCATAACTGGCTAAATGTATGTACAGATACATGGAATATTTTTGCACAATTTGCTTAATTACAGAACAACTTTATTTTATCATGTAATATAGGTGCAACACATTTCTCAATGTCATGGGGTGGGCTTATTACAAGACAATGAACATGGATTGTTCTATAATTGCCTGATAGGTATATCTACAGATCTTACCTTCCTAGCACTGTCCATACCCGACAAGGCCAAGGAGGTGCTGAATTGGACCAGGTTACCAAAATCCAAGGGGAACTTGAGACGTGAGGAATGAAATACAGACCCTAAACCTTCCTCCAGGCCCTGTAATATGTTAGGAATTAAAATCTTCATTGATGTCCACTTATTGAATAATATATAAAATCTGAGGAGACTGATAGGTAATTTAGAAAGGTGATCAAACTTCTTTCAGACCTGTTCAACATTTAAATGAATACCTTAATAACAAAAGTCAGACCTGTCTACAATGGCCTCACAATTTTTTTTTTTTAAATTTGACCTTTCTAGACAGGTGATCTTTATATGTCAATATAATTTGAATTTCAATACATGTACTGTAAAGGAAGCTTTTCAAAGTTTCAAATCTTCCTTGTTTTGCCAAAGCCTTGAGGGTTGTACTTTTCGAGGAAGTCTATTGCTTTTATTTTGAAGACAATTTTTTTCCCATCCTTGTCAATAACAACCTTAACATTGCATCAATGTGGCTTAATAGACAGGTATTTGTTATGTAGCAGAGGAAAATCAACATGGTCATCATCAAGGGCCACTACAATACTACAATACATTTCTATTCCATCAAGAGATAGGTTTACCTTGTTCCAGAAATCTTCTGCTACAAATTCTTGTTTCAGCAGTTTACAAATATTTGCATACAGCACCTACAATGGGAAATAAATCAATTTATAAAGGTCAATTCATTTCTGAATCAAGCAAATAACAAGATATTCCTAGTGTATAGAAACCCTATCAGACAAGAGAAATAGTAACATAATTGGACCATATTCAACTTTACTCCTTAATGTAATTCAATCTGATGGCAGTTTTTATGGCATTTATCCTTTGTGAATATTCATTATTATGACCTCCTTGCGTGCTTTATCATTTAGACTCACTTAATGTATAGGATCTTAATCATGCAGAAATGATCAGTGTGCATCTTAAAGACCCAGAGAAATACTGGGTTAAATGTTCCTGGTGTGTACCTTGATTTCTCTCTCGCCCCCTAAGGAATCCTCATCAAATGCGGAGAGTAAGTTCACCAGCATGTTATACACTATGTAGTGGGCTACAGATGACACAAACTGTAAAAGGAAAAATCAAACAGGTGAAATAATTGTAGTTTATTCTTAATCTAAATAGCTTTACCCTGGCTATATAATTTGCATAATACCAAAGACAAGATCAAATTTGGCTATAGTTCTAAAGTACAATCATCAAATACAAGATAAAATACGAAAGGTGACTAAACAAAAAACTAATATCAAAAACTAATAACCATTATAGAAAACTTTGTATTCCAAAAAACTTCATTTTAAAGAAAATCTTTGTTTTAATCCAGCAAATTATGTTATAAAGATAGATGGTAATCACCACTGTTACAACAATGTGTAAGTATAATACTAATAATATGTATCATTCAGCTATAACACTTACAGATGTTTTGCTGGTAAATGGCTCAGTGTTGAGGATTTCATACAGAACATCAAACACACGCAGCGCCAGAGCACTATTACCCATCTTCCTGGTGACAGCATTGTCTGTCTCTGTGGGATATACCATACGAATAGCCACCCAGGAGAGCAGCAAAGGACCATGGGAAGGGTCCGACCCTAGAGTCTGAATCACCTCATCTAGTCTCTGTAACAATATTCAAGCCATACATTATAGGACAATCACTACGAAAACAAAAATAATTGTCACTTAATTCTTTTCTCAATTCCAAACTAAAACGCGACAAAAACCCTTATTACAGCCTTGTCAATCTACTTTGAATCTTCGATGAAATACATAATTAAACCTGGTCAGATTTGAATCTTCAATGAAATACATACTTAAACCTTTTCATAAATTCTGTCCCCAACAAAACCTGGTAATTATCTATGATAAAACCTTGCCCATCAATGTTGAAACCTTAAGAGTCCCATTCCACCTTGTCACAATTCAGTCTTGTTACAAATCAAGTCAGCCCTAATCACAAAAGCCAGGTAATAATTCTCAATAAAAGTCTTGTCAATCACTGTAATATCTATACTGAGACTACCAGATAAACTTATTTTCTAGACACAAGTGTTTAATTATTCATTATTTCGTTTATTCTCTGCAGAGTTTTCCATAATTTTGTTAGTAGTAGACTGTGTAGTGAAAGTAGGAGGCTGGCCTGCAGTGTACGTGTAGTCGTGTACGAAACATTATTACGGAACTGGATTGGTGTAGGCGACCAAATGATTGAAGTAGGCGACCGGCTCTTATAGAAAACCCTGCTCTGTCATTAAGTTATCTACATACCTTAAATGAACTTGGATCTTTAAGAATGGAATGTCCATCAAAACTGTAAAGGAAAAGCATGAATCAATAAAAAATCGAGCTTAAAGATACTTTACAGTGGCAATCTTTTCCAGTAAAATTCACTTCATACTGTCAAAACTTCTGAAGCAAAATTATATTGTAAAGTGGCTAGGCAAACAGCAGTTATATAGTTTATATTGACGAAATCAATTTTAGATTCTAGCAGGTATGGTTAGGATACCTCTTATGTGCTGTCACAATGAAGTTATCTGTCCTGAATTAGAACATGCAATCATACCTGCCCAAGTGTATACAACCATGAACCATCTCCAGGTCAAGGGTTTCTAATAATATCAACATCTCCAAATGACTGTAAAAAAAAGCTGTATACATCAACTCAAAAAATCACAATGACAACAAAGATCAAGTTTAAGCACAACAAGGTACATGTTTCCCTCATTAAAAAGAGCAGCAGCTCTTTAGTACAAGAACGCTATGACAAATAATGTGGAGATATTGATAAAACAGACGATTTTCATCACATTAAATAAAAAATTTTACTGAATGATATCCTAAAAAATTATCAGTCTTTCTCATGTAACATTAAACATGACTGCACATTACTGAACCATGACTGAAACATTTACAAGTTTAATTGTAACAAAGTATGCATATGGACTGTTAGTATTCATAAAACAGTTTGAATATCAAAATGTGTAGGGTAACATATAACACTTTTTTTATTTATCTAGATGTGGTTTATATAAGATCTAAATACCATTCCTGCCCAAATTTTATTGGGAGTAGAACTAAACATTAAATCTCATTGGAGTCTCTAAGTCAGAAAATATTGGTCACAGTGACCTACATGTCAATCTTATCCCTAAGGGCAAAAGTAACACTGGTTTATGAATATTCCTATATCACAAATGAAATGCTTGTACTATAATATGCCCCCCCCCCAGCTCTACACACCCAATCTTCTTGATAAAAGGCTCAGCTGGATCCTCCAGAATGTGCTTGTACTTCTGATGTCTGCCGAAACCATGCCGCTGCAACAAAATCGAAACTTTAATATCAGTTCTGTATTTGTCTTTCTCAGTTCAATAACTTATGTACTACAAGTTGCTAAACAAGACAAATGCTTAGTCTTTTACATCAAGGTATTAACATAACAAATGAAAGTCTTCCTCACCTTAAACATTTCCACCAAGTTGATGGCCTGGTCGGTGTTTATTTCCAGGTCCTTCAAGAAAATCACCAAAATTTCCAGTAACTCACACTGTTCCAACAAATTCTGATGAGCCCATACATGAGCCTGTCTCTCCGTCTGAAAAACAAAATTTTATATAATGGCTCATTTTGTACATATCAATCAGTATTATGAGACAGAATAAGTGAAATGTTTTATCTTATTCTATTCAATAATTCAGCAAAATATTGTAAACATCTAACATATTTTAGTAGCAATTTTATTTAACATATTTTAGTAGCAATTTTATTTAACATATTTTAGTAGCAATTTTATTAAACATAAAACATAATTGCACTTATTGCAGATAAGTTATTGCAAATGCATCAATTTATTGTTGTGCTGATTATTTCACAAATCATATTACACTGAAATTTGATAATGTCAAAACAAGTATGTTACAGTAAAGAATATTTTCAAAATTCTTTGTTATTATCTAGTGCACATGTACTAACTTCAAAGTGATTTTTATCTTAACTTTTGATGCCAACAGAACCATGCTGAATAAATTCAAGAGATCTGGAATATCATTGAGCATATCATCAAAGTAGATGTTTTGCATGGCATGCAAAATATTGTGGGAAACTTACAGCCCCAATCTCAGGACAAACAGAGGATATCAACCTTACTGAATACCCTTAGCTTCTAAATAGAGGAAAAGACAGATCATAATTCAGAATGTAAATCATAACTATTCCTAGAAGTATGCCTTAGATTTAAAGCTTTTTAATTGTATGACTCATGAACTTGAGTCTGTCTAGCCCTTCACACCTCATTCAGTGTGCATGTTTAGACAGAGAAAATCTAAATTACTGAATTAGAAAGAAGTAAACATGATGAGGGGTTCAATTTTAAATAAGTATGTACTGATACTGGCACAGACAAATGCAATCAGTGAAGCATTGACAAAGTGATTACTGAACGTTGTACCTTTAGTAAGTAGGTTGTATAATGAGATTTATCGATCAAAGCCATACCAAGAGGGAGAACACATTACTTTATACACTTTCTAAAGGTAACATATCTTACCATCATAGTTCCATTGGTCTCCCAGGTAGGCAACTGTTCCTTGATACATCCTTTAAATTGATCTAATATCTGTAAAAAAAAAAAAATCAGCATTGTACGCAATATTCTACAATGTATAATAAATATATAAATACATATGGTACATATTTAAAAAAAAAAAAAAAGACTTAATTTTCCTTTTATTTCTTTTTTGCAATATCTAGATAGGTAAGCAGTTTTAAAATAATTCTGTACATTCCTTGGAAAATTGGATAAAAAGTTAGGTAGTAACAGCTACATTTTATAGTTTTATATACAGATTTTACCTTTTCCATAATATCTGAATCAGTTGTCAGCCTTCTCATAAACTGTTCAAGCTCCTCCTGAAAGTTACAAATATTTCTCAAATAAACGAATGTCTTCTTCCATTACTTTAAACAAAAACATCAATACCAACATGACAACATCATCATAATTCAAACTTGAAGGTCATAAAACTAGGACAAGGAGAATAAGACCAGGTGATTTGGAAGAGTAAGCCTCTTCTGCTTTGTTTACGACACCAGACATGTAAACCTCAGTCAACTGAAGTAAGTAATGTTACATTCTCAAATGAGAGAACAAAGTGTATAACAACAGAGCCAACAGGCAAACTAACGAGCATCAAACACATCCAGCTTCATATCACACAAAGAAATAGAAATTTCTCAATGAGATCACTATGGCAACCATCAAACTTCCCCATAATTTTCATCAACCTGCATCTTTCAAAGAAAGTCAAAAGATGAGTGAAGACATAACCACCCAATGATCTATTCAGTCAAACCTCTTGTTTAAATGCTAGCTACCTACAAGTTGATTGCAACTGCCAGTAAATACAAGTTATGTCTTTTACAAAACATACATGGTGAATAAAGGGCAATAACTCTGAAAATAAAAGAGCACAATAAAGTTTATCATTAACAGCTTACAAGTATCTGATCTTCTATGATTTTTATAATATTCAACAATGAATCATTCGACAGGTATTCATTTTATGTGTCATATATAAATATCATCCAATATCTGCAATAAACAAGTAGTACCAAACAGAATGGTGATCTGTTCAGTAAACAGTAGACCACATACCGTCTCACTTCATTGTCCTCATCCTTTACTATCTACGAACAATATATTGGACACCTGATTCTCAACATACAATTTGTGCCATTCCACCTGTTGATAATATTAAGATTTGACTACCTTGTAGGGATGGTCATCATCCTGCCAGAAGTTTATGACAACCTTCACACACTGTAGCAAGTAAAGTCTCTCCGTAAAGTAATAGTCCCGGATCTTGTACACCAAGGCCTGTGTGTGACGCTCATTGTTGAGGATGTGCTGGTAACAAAGAGAATGTATACACATTTTTAAAACATCATACCAGGGCCTGTGTGCGATGCACATCCATTATCAAATTATCTGTCATCATTCCAGGGACTGTTTACCATGCTGAACTGTTAAAACGTACAGCCTCATAAAACGATTTACTTTCAAATATTGAAAGTTTTTGCAGAGAACCACCAATAAAACAAGATATATGACAGAGACCTTGACACCTGTTACAATCTTTAATGGTTATCTGCTAGTTTGATATCAGTTTCTCCTTTTGATTTACAATCGTCTGTTGAAGTGACTAGGTTAGGTTTCACATTATCGGCTTACCACCTTAGGTTTCAGTCAGTAAATAAGGAAATTTTTTGCAATGACCTGATTTGGGTATGCCAAGACCTGAAATGTTCGTCTTAATATAAAGGATTTTTATTGATAAGAAGATTCCTTCAGTCTCTCTTGATAAACAGTGGTAACAAATCTTCAATGTCTAAATTCAAATGGCCTCTGGCAATATTAATTCATTCTTAGAAGCTTCATGTATATACATTTTTAACTCTTGGTATACCTTGAATGAATCTGAAGACATAAGCATATTAAAGCATCTGAGTGTTACGAGCAAACTTAACAAATACATCTAACATCCATAAATTACCTGCAGGTTTTTCTGAGATCCTCTGTAATCATTAGATAGGAAAGAGCTGAAAAGATCCAAGCTTTGTAACTCTTCAAGTCCCTGAAATAAAGGAAGATAAAAAAGGACTGTAACTGAATCACAACTGAGACAAGGAACGAAAAAAAAAAGTTTACATGTACTATGAAACATCTTTACAAATCGTGATTGATTACATTACATACAAAATACCAATTCTATAGCGAGAAAAAGTGTAAAATTAAAAGTGCCATAACATATAATTGATGTGCACATATGACTTCAGATAATAATTTCTAAACCTATATCAAATTAATTAGTATTTAAGTATTCTCAAGTTATAGGAGGATACACTATTTTGTGAAATATTTCAGTGTAATTAAAGTTGGAAAAGTATTCTCTGATATACAATGAACAAACAAGTCCAGTATAAAAGATATGTTTGCTTACCAAAAACTGACTGATCTTTTGAACGAGGTCTTTGTGTAGCTTGGAGAGTTTCTTCCCTTTCAGTTGTTCTCCTGCTATAGTTCTGTAGTACAGAACACGATGATGACATAAATATGTATACTGTACAATGATCAAACATAGTCAGTTCAGATTAAGTTCTATGGGGTGTAACATTAGTTTACATACCACATTAGAATGTTCCATCTCAAGTGCATCTTCGTTAAACAAAAATTAAAATGCTCTATTCAGATCAAGTCTCTTGAGAAATCCTTTGAATCAAAAGGATAAAAAATTCTTTAAAGAATATTTGCTTTGAAATATTTTTAACATTATGTAGAAAACATGACTTCTTATCTCATGGTTGAAGTCATCAATCTTATTTTCATTATGTCATAATCTCCATGTGTGGATGTCATTTCATTATCATATTTGTGCTGTGACAACTTGTGAGGCCATATTACAGGAAGTTAAAGGTGAAATTTGACACATCAATCATGTGATTAATTTTTCAGACCTTGACCTTTTCAGAATGTCACACCCTTGTTGATTGACATACACACTCAGAATGGACAATATTTGTTTAACTAAATACTGCTAAGATGGCAATTGCAAATAATATCCTTGTTTAAAAATATAGTTCATACATATAATTAAATTATTACTGAAACAATACTGTTGTGAAAGTTCTTGATCTATTCTTTGATAAGAAAAGTCACACAGTGCTAGTGTGCATTTTAATATTATCCTGTATAAAAGTTTCTAAATACAAAGCTGGTAATGAATGTAAGGACTATTCAACTACATTTTGCCTAACATCACTATTAGTGACATGGTACGTTGATATGGAATTCTACTTACACTGGCTTTTTATAAAAAGATATGCCTTCTAATATCTTTTTTCCATTCCTTGTTAGTTCTCTGGACACCAATTCCTTCAAAAGCAGAACAATTGATAAAAATTAATGGTGATCATTTAGAAAATGAATTACAGATATAAACAACACACACCAAAAATGACAAGATGCTACATTCTGTGACAGTCTGCATAACTGTAACTATTTAACCACATTAACAATTTCTCTAAAACTGAGTTTATCAATTGGAGATGTAATTTTGGATGTGTGACCAGCTAATTAAACATGTATAACATCTGACATTGTGTAAAGCTAATTATACATGTGTAACATCTGACATTGTGTATGTGGGTACCTCCCGAAATATGATTTTCTATATATTAGTTTCTTTAAAGTGTACTTCAGCAATTGCAATGATTCTTGGACTAATCAAAGAATATAAGAGATATATTGTGACTTGGGTTTTTTTCCCATTATTTAGACTATTGTTATGATTAATAATTATATGGCAGCCAACTTTCAAATCTGATAATGCAACTCTTGACAACAAACACTCCTGAATTAAAATACTTCTAAACTTCAAGTCAGGTACTACCAAATGTGTTTTTATCCTCTGAAATGAGAATATGTTGGGAATTTCTAGCCTCTGATATCGAAGTATATTCCCAGCTAGGCCTAGTTCTAATAATTATACCCAGTCTCCGTAGTTCTGACCGACAGTGACATATAATATCAATACAATAAACGATTAAAATGTCTCTCATGGTACAGTAGTGTCTAACTTATCCAATGGTATTCACAACCGTCTACAAATTCTTTACCAATCTCTTATACACGTTGCATTAAGTAAAGTCTAAATGTTACCTTCGGACGCAGAACTCCTGTTCCATTTATTAGCTGCCATAATGATCTATTTCCAAAGCTGCAAGAAAGAAGATGAATGAAATTAAGGTCCATACAAATTGTAAACAAACAATCAACACACATTTAACATTATATTTCACACGTAAAAAATAAGATATGTCACACAAAACTACATAAAATATTATCTCGTGTAGTCAGATCACGTGTTATGCTGATCAGCTTTGAAAGTGGTTTACCTATCCGGTTTCGCAGCAGGCTGATTTGAACCTCCAGTGCCCGCCATGCTTTCATTTTTTTCGCAAACAGGAAGTAAGTTCATCACAATAATATATTATCCGAAATCGGGTTTTACAAGTGCGGAATATGTCCGGGTTTTTTTTTAAAACTGTACAATTATTATTACAAAACAAGAGATTTTAAATGGATATTGACGCTAATTATCATTTGCTTTTCATTTGCTGTGTTATCTGTTTTCTTTTATCTTAAACATTCACAACTATAGGGGAACTCCAATAGCGATAACAAACTGTTAAACTCCAGGATGATCGCCTATCATGGTCAATTTATTTTCCTAGTCGGTCCCAAAATCAGTTAAACGGACACAATTAACAATTGATGACCAAGGGAAAACTACATAACGTTTGAGAAATATCCTTCCAGTACTTTTAAAGAAATAGTGTTTAAAAGATTGTTTACGGACGGACGGCAAGGATTTGAGCCCCGTACCCCTATGTCCTCTCCCACGTACGTATAACATTACAGTGGTACAAGATTTCTATTTTCTGTTGAAAATAATGGAAAATTGCACATACATCATGTCGGCAGGATTCATTTTGATTCAATTGATTAAAAGTTAATAAACGAATTTAAATACTGAACCTGTTGGAATCATACATTTTATATAAAGTTTAACTTTTTGTACAGACAATAACGGAAATCCATTCATTAATGCCATGGAAGAAACTGTAACAAGCGTTCACAAGGACCCCCCGTATTCACTGAACGTATGTGAAACAGATCCGCTACACCAAAACCCAATAGCTTCAAACCTCAGCATATTTCAGCCTTTTCGAGAAAATATTGCTGCATAGGTTGTTATTTTCAACATGAATACATCATGACTGGTTGGTTTTATCCGTTGCGTTGAATTCTAAGCGAAACATCACCATGCATGCAAATGACTCTATCATCAGATAGACAACTCCATGACACCCATGTAAGACATGCACCAAAGGGAGGACGGTGGGCGTGTATTTGCTTTAAAAGGGGGATTTTTAAAACGTCACAATGTCCAAATTTGACAACACATTTAAATGAGTTGTTTAAACATGCAAATTGGATTTTCCCAATATTTCCAATTTACTCTTGATCAAGAACTACTTATTATTAAAATAATGAACACGGGCTAGATAAATAAGTTATTAAACGATCGGGTGATTGGAACATCGAGAAATGCAGATTTACTTATTACATTTTCACTTTTTATTAAATGTTTTATCATCGTAACGTAGTAAAATGTTACGGTGAAGTTGTTTATTTTTTATCCAATGATATGTGACTAGCCAGTAATTATTGTTTAATTCCAAGATGAGTTTTTTTCACGATTATACATAATTCATAGAAAATGTGAAACACACGCTGAAGACGTCATCTTAAACTGTATTACAGATTATCTGTCTTTTGAAATTTAACATATCTTTGCAGAAAAAAAATACTAACGAATAGATACCTGGTTTTCTCTTACAAAACAGTAAAACTAGAGAGAGAGAGAGAGAGAGAGAGAGAGAGAGAGAGAGAGAGAGAGAGAGAGAGAGAGAGAGAGAGAGAGAGAGAGAGAGAGAGAGAGAGAGAGAGAGAGAGAGAGAGAGAGAGAGAGAGAGAGAGAGAGAGAGAGAGAGAGAGAGAGAGAGAGAGAGAGAGAGAGAGAGAGAGAGAGAGAGAGAGAGAAAAAAAATTTAACATATCTTTGCAGAAAAAAAATACTAACGAATAGATACCTGGTTTTCTCTTACAAAACAGTAAAACTAGAGAGAGAGAGAGAGAGAGAGAGAGAGAGAGAGAGAGAGAGAGAGAGAGAGAGAGAGAGAGAGAGAGAGAGAGAGAGAGAGAGAGAGAGAGAGAGAGAGAGAGAGAGAGAGAGAGAGAGAGAGAGAGAGAGAGAGAGAGAGAGAGAGAGAGAGAGAGAGAGAGAGAGAGAGAGAGAGAGAGAGAGAGAGAGAGAGAGAGAGAGAGAGAGAGAGAGAGAGAGAGAGAGAGAGAGAGAGAGAGAGAGAGAGAGAGAGAGAGAGAGAGAGAGAGAGAGAGAGAGAGAGAGAGAGAGAGAGAGAGAGAGAGAGAGAGAGAGAGAGGGAGAGAGGGAGAGAGAGATGTTCTTAAATACAAAACAGTAAAACTATAAAGATATGTTTTAGTTAAAAGTAACATTTCAAATTAAAATATTTTCATGATTCACCGATTTCTCCCCTTTCAGCAGTACGCACGAAATTAATTTTTCAGTCGATAATAATTTCAAGTTGTAAAAACACCGTTGATTATACTCACTACATACAATAATGTGTCAATTATTTCTCCTGAAAACTGAGACACGGAGCCGCATGTGCTGTCCTTGAGAAAGACACTTTACCACAATTTCTCTGGATGTCATGCGTCTGACGTTCCAAAATGAGGTACTATAATGTTGTCAGCAACCATTCTAGCAGGCGATAAACCCAACACACAATCCCCAGAGTACGAGATTGTGTCATTTTCATGCATGTATTGTGTTCTTATTGCACCTATCTACAGTATTGATTGTATTATCTACACACATTTCTCAATAATTTTAGCTAATGCCTTATTTGGATACACATTACTCTTTGGCTTTGCTTTAAAGGTATTAATATTTAGAACGGATTTTTTTTGCCTCTTGTGCTACAGACGTGTGCAACAAACGAGATCCATTTTGCCAACTTGAAGGTTTCCAGTACTATGTAGCGATCGATTCATCCTTCTGTACGAAAGAGGAATACAAAACATATTCCAAAACAGTTTCTATCGGAACGTTGTTGACGTTGATCTGTCATGGTAACTCTGAGCTTATTTTCGGCCCAAAGAAATGTTAAAGGACAGGGGTATACCGGAAAGGTCAGTCTCAGAGCATTTGAAGAGATGGTTGTGAAAAAAGTGTGACATATTTCGGACGGGTAGATATTCATGTACTCTCGAAGATTCGTCAAAAGGGTAAAACTTAAAATATATATTTGCTTACAATGACATCTTAATTCAACCAAGATTGCCTCCGTTCATACTACCACGAAATTGTGTACAAATACGTAAACTTTTTTTTATCCCCCGCGAAACGCATTTGCGGGGGTTATTTAAATTGGGCTCCGTCCGTCCGTCCGTCCGTCCAAGTGCTTTTCCGGGCTGTAACTTCGAAACCGTTCAACTCAACTTCACAAAACTTCCTATATATATATTAAGTTGATGCCTTAGTTGTGCCTTTTGCTAATGGCGACATTTCACTCTTTATATTGTTTTTCTGTTACCTTGGAAACGTAGTCAGAAAACACCAAAAGACGGCTTTTCCGAGCTATAACTTCCAAACTATTGAACCCAACTTCACAAAACTTTCTGTTTATATTAAGTCATTGCCCTAGTTGTGCCTTTTGCTATTGTCGACATTTCACTTATTATATTGTTTTGTTACCATGGAAACATAATCAGAAAACACCAAAAGAGGGCTTTTCCGGGCTATAACTTCCAAACCGTTCCACTCAACTTCACAAAACTTTCTGCACATATTAAATGGGTGCCCTATTCGTGCCTTTTGCTATTGTCGTCATTTTACTTTATACATTTTTTTCTGTTTCCATGGAAACATAGTCAAATAACACAAAAAGAGGCTTTTCCAGGCTATATCTTCCAAACTGTTCCACTCAACTTCACAAAACTTACTGCACATATTAACTTAGTGCCATAGTTGAACCTTTTGCTATTAACAACATTTCATTTTTTATTATATTTTTTCAGTTTTTGCAAAAATATAGTTAAAAACCTCAAAAGAAGGCTTTTTCTGAGATACAACTTCAAGGCATTGGCCCCTCAGAGTGTGATCATTATCATTATTATTACATGTTTTACATCTCTTACATAGTAAATCTTTTGTTGCCTGAAGATAGCTGTTATGCCTGAAAACGATACTGAAACACATTTGTTGTGTTGATTCTATATTTTCAATTATATCTCTCTCTCTATATATATATAATGTTGAAGTTGAGGAGATGTGAGTTTATTATTTTCTTCTGGTGCTTTCACTGTAATAGACCTTCACGTGCAAAGTATTGAAACATAAGTGTGTGAAGTCTCAAATTATTACATTGCTATATATAGCATATTTGGGTTCCATACCAACACCTGTGTGCGGGGGATAATGCCACGCTTTCCGGCATCTTGTTTCAGTTTAAAAAGCTTGTCCTTCCTACAAGGGACGGCTTTGACATCAGCTTCCATTATTCTGCCTTTTTTATCTGCAGCGGTACATATCTTGACAGAATTAACGTGGAAATCAGATTTATGTAACACTGCTGTAAAATGTTACTCATACTTCGTGAAAGAATTAGACCAACTATAACGACCACACAAATTCACTGTTGTGTCGTGGTAAACAAATGTGTTATCAGTAGGATAACCTGCGTATTTTATTCTGGGAACTTGGAATTGAAGGTCCACTAACGAACATCGATTAGAAAGAAGAAACAAAAAACCGAAATAATTCCTGCCACTTTTTCCAATACAGGATAAGACATTTATGCTTGTTGGACAAATTCTCTTAAAATCAACTAAAAGCATATTGCACACGGATTTCATCGTTCAGTGTTGTCACTTCCCTTGTCACTTTCACAGTGCGGTAAAAGTCACGTGGCTGATGTAGTAAAATGGTATAATCTAATAGAGTCTCCCGCTGAAGAAATCTCATTCACTGGTCATCAAACATTAATTTAGTATAAAACAATATTTCTAAAAAAATTAACAATATTACCCATACATATAAATTACATTTGTGATGGGAAAACATCGATTATTTACATGATATAACACTACTTCAAAAATAAAATTGAGAGAGGGAGAAAATCGGTTTAGTACAAATAGAATTAGTCTTCACTGCAAGAACTCAGATACCGAAAACCAAGAGAGTAAAAACCCGCGAATCAGGAAAGCTATAAAGGTCAGTAGATTGCATTACATTGTATGCTGGTACCAAAGTAAATACCAGATAAATTATTACACAATATTGGCTTAACACCTTCAACAGTGTTATAAAATGTTAAAAATAAGTCGGGATAGAGATCTATAGTGATAAAGCAGAAGACACTTATCCCTCCGGAACACCTGGTCTCATTCTCGTGTACCTTTTCAGGGGTTCTATTAAATCTTTCTTAATTATATTTTGCCCTGGTTGTCACTGCTTTTGAGTTTGAATAATGATTTTGATGATATATCGGTATTGTGTATATGTTTAATGGTGTTATCTAAGTTGATAATAAACTGGAAATTATTCTTCAGTGTCAGTAAAGCTTTATCATCGGAGCTATAAACAATGCTATTGAAATTTCTAACAGAATTAAAATTTTACTTTCACATAAAGTACTGCTCAAATCTTTTAACTCTGAAACATCATCACTTACAATCGCATCACGTGATCACTTATAATTGGATCACGTGACATCCTTTATGTAAGCAACTACATTATATATCACATCACTTTTGACACACGTTTCCTAAACCTTTCACAGGTCTTGTCATAGTTACTTGGAATAAGTTCATCATAGCTTGCATTATTTCTCAATGAGAAAGTATTTAGATAATAAATAGTGAATCACCTCTGGGTGATGTAGTCAGAAATAAAATTAAACTGATAATAACACTGACATCAAAACTTAAGAAATCTTACTAACTACATTATGCATATGAAAGGTCCTATTAGTTTACAGTTAAGTTCAACTTAGTCCTAATTTCTGTATCACAAGGTGCTCTAGACTTAAAATTTGATTTTACTTTCTTTCTCTAAACTAGGCATACTTGACTTTTTATTATCAGGTTTCATAAGTAAGCTCTTCCAGAGAGGAACCTGGTACTTATAGGTAGCTGTATGATGAGGAATTCACAGTCACAAAATGACCAAATTAGATTTTGATAATTGAATATGTTAACTCTATTTCTCAAAATTGGCAGGATGTTTCCAAAACATTTCTAATAAATGCCCTTCATGGTCATCACTGTTTTGTTTTGAAATTAGGATTCTGTCTGCAGAATTTGCTGGCTGATTTGACTGTCATAAATAGGCTCGGATTGGATTCTGGAGGCCCAGGTGAAATTCAGATAGTAACTGGTGTAATTAGCAATAGCAGTAATAATAACACCACCTAGCTAAATTCTGTTACACTAGAATAACATCACATGGAAGATTTTAGTCCGATACAATCTTATCCTAATCATACTCCTATTTTCTGATAGGTTGTCTGTTCAGAGACAATATTTTTTCAGTTTCATATATCACACAAAACAAGAATTAAAAAATGGTCTGGGTTTTAGTGTCTAAAATTATTGAAGTTAGTGAAAACTTTCATTATATAAAATATTAGTTTTTACATTCTGTATGCGTATAAAAATGGTAACATGCTAAAACAAGAGATCCCAGAGGGATCTTGGCGCCCACCATTATAGGATCTGTTTTCAGTTCTTGAAGATTTTTTTTTGTTTGTTACAGGTGTTGTAAATGTTCATGAACTGGTCTCCATTGAATTTACTCAATGATGGCACAAGATATTTTTATTAAGCACCTATTAGCAAATATCATTTGAAAAAGATCCCAAAGTATTATTAGATAGCAGTCAGTTACAGGTGGATAATGGACAATATGCTTGTCCTGTATTACTGTCGACATCCAAGATGGCTGCCTGTGGGCCATCTTGAATTCGAATCAGTCCAAAAAAGGTACAATGCACAACTAGGGACCAAGGGGAACCTGCATATGAAATTTGAGAAAGATCCATCCAGTACTTTCCAAGAAATAGCGGTAACAAACTTTTACATCCAAAATCCAAGATGGCCACCTGTCGGCCATCTTGAATTCGAATCAGTCAAAAAAAGGTACAATGCACAACTAGGGACCAAGGGGAACCTGCATATGAAATTTGAGAAAGATCCATCCAGTACTTTCCAAGAAATAGCAGTAACAAACTTTTACATTCAAAATCCAAGATGGCCACCTGTCGGCCATCTTGAATTCGAATCAGTCCAAAAAAGGTACAATGCACAACTAGGGACCAAGGGGAAACTGCATATGAAATTTGAGAAAGATCCATCCAGTACTTTCCAAGAAATAGCGGTAACAAACTTTTACATCCAAAATCCAAGATGGCCACCTGTCGGCCATCTTGAATTCGAATCAGTCCAAAAAGGTACAATGCACAACTAGGGACCAAGGGGAACCTGCATATGAAATTTGAGAAAGATCCATCCAGTACTTTCCAAGAAATAGCGGTAACAAACTTTTACATCCAAAATCCAAGATGGCCACCTGTCGGCCATCTTGAATTCGAATCAGTCCAAAAAAGGTACAATGCACAACTAGGGACCAAGGGGAACCTGCATATGAAATTTGAGAAAGATCCATCCAGTACTTTCCAAGAAATAGCGGTAACAAACTTTTACATCCAAAATCCAAGATGGCCACCTGTCGGCCATCTTGAATTCGAATCAGTCCAAAAAAGGTACAATGCACAACTAGGGACCAAGGGGAAACTGCATATGAAATTTGAGGAAGATCCATCCAGTACTTTCACAGAAATAGCGGTAACAAACTTTTACTTCCAAAATCCAAGATGGCCACTTGTCGGCCATCTTGAATTCGAATCAGTCAAAAAAAGGTACAATGCACAACTAGGGACCAAGGGGAAACTGCATATGAAATTTGAGGAAGATCCATTAAGTACTTTCTCAGAAATAGCGGTAACAAACTTTTACTTCCAAAATCCAAGATGGCCACCTGTCGGCCATCTTGAATTCGAATCAGTCAAAAAATGTACAATGCACAACTAGGGACCAAGGGGAACCTGCATATGAAATTTGAGAAATATCCATCCAGTACTTTTCCAGAAATAGCGGTAACAAACTTTTACTTCCAAAATCCAAGATGGCCACCTGTCGGCCATCTTGAATGCGAATCAGTTCAAAAAAGATACAATGCACAACTAGGGACCAAGGGGAACCTGCATATGAAATTTGAAAAAGATCCATCCAGTACTTTTCCAGAAATAGCGGTAACAAGAATTGTTTACGGACGGACGGACGGACCACGGACGCAAGGCGATTTGAATAACCCACCATCTATTTGAATAGATGGTGGGCTAAAAAGCAACATCTGTTTCATATTGAATGCAGATACCTATTCTCTAAGGATAATTGTATCCACTCTCCTGTAATCAATAGTTGTGACAGATAAACATGACTGGGTTCTATATGACAGAATTAATCACTACCTACTAGAGGATGAATCATTGTTTCTCGTAGTTAAGCATTGTGTGTTTTATTTCCTGTTGATATCATATAGACTATAAAACAATGGCTATTATAGGAAAGACTTTTTAAATGGAACATGTCAACTTTTGTCATTTCTCATAAAGTAGAGTTCCATTATGATTTCTTCTATCTGCAGTTTTAAGCAATAACGCATCTTCATCAAAAGAAATTAACAGTTGTCGGAAATTTGAAACACTATCTTGGAGATTGTTTATTCGTAAATAATCTCATCAATAAGCAATTTTCTGCAGGACTAATGGCAAAATATTGACAATATTGGCAAAACAAGGTTGTGTGTCCTTGAGTCTGTAATTATATTGGTACATCAATGCAGACATGTCATTTGTGGTTCTAAGGATTCGAAGCAGCTCAAATCAACAGAAATTAATAATTTTCAGGAATTAAAAAAAAATATTCTGGAGATTGTTTACTCGCATCTATTCTCATCATTAGTTCAAACACAACCTGGCTTTGAAGTACAATGTCAAACATAACGATAGAAACCATAGTTCACTGTCGGTCCAATAGACTAAAGATGTCATGATGGTCGGTGTTAAGGCTCGTCTGTGATCTTGTGTCCAAACATACACACATAAAACAAACCCAATGTTTTTCTTCAAGTTTTATTTCATATGTAAAATTATACAGTAGTTTATTATATGTCCGGAATTCACAAATAAAACAATTAAGTAAGTGTTAGCTAAAATAGAAGACAAATCTTAGATCATATTCCAATTGTCAGTCAGTTTCTGTAAATCTATCATCAATCACGATTGAAAAAGTCACAATAAAAAGAAAAAACAGGAAAGAAAAATACAACTCTCAAAATTTGTTTAATACATATACTTATAAACCTATATGAAAATGTGTGGAGAAAAAGCAAAAAAAAAAAAAAAAAAATAAGTAAACAAATACCAATATTATTCTTTGATGTCATAAATAAGAAATTAGTGTGTTTACATATGAAATAAGACTTTACTACTGATAACAATACTAGACCTAAACAACATGCATGTTACAACAAAAAGTTGTAAATAGTTGAATTTTCTAAATGATGTTATGATTCAACAGATTTAATTCTTGGATGTAAATTTCAGAGTTGATTATTAAAATGTATCATAGTTAAAATTAGTGTAAGCACTATTTTCGTGTGTGCAAAATTAAAATTTAAAATCTTCTCCAAAGTAAATGTGATTTTTTTTTTGTAGTTGCAACTTACTTGCATACAAAATTTATGATAGATATGACAATTATTTGTTAGATAGTTGAACAAATTCCTTTTAAGATCTCGTGTTGTTTCAGCAAGAACACTGTTAAGGGTTATTGCACATTTCGAAGAAAAACATTGAAAAATACTATATCTTTATTGGGAATTGATTTCCGTTACTTATGTGTAAAGAAATTTAAAGAAATGAAAGCAAATTTGAAAATTTATATATTATTTAAGGAAATAAATAAAAATTGAAAATTAAATCTATAACTTTATAGTATTTTTAGTATGACATAATTATCATATATCATTTTTTGTAATATTTCCTGTTTTACTGTTGAAGCGAATATAGACAAAATCTGTCTCTTAAATAAGAAGTAATAATGATAAAGTCATCTCCAGTCTCAACACATAACAAAAAACTACTAAATTACCCTTCGTAAAGAACACTTTCCTGTTTAAAAAATGAACAATACTTCTGAATGAATTTAAGTTGAGAATAATTATATAAATCTCAAAAGAAGGAAAATTCACCTTAAATGAAAACAACATGAGGAATGTAGGAATTGATGGAAAGTTAACACTAACCTTAGCCCACACTATACAGCACTTATTACATGGCATGTTCCTGCGTATAGTATGCACACCCTTTTTGACACGACAGTTTTTGCCTAAAAAAGTGTGCACTATACGCGCAAATTTACGGTAATAGACCACTGCCGAGCAGAACCAGCCGATTAGGGTACATCTCTTAATAATACTTACATTTCAATATACCAAAATACATATCTTTGATGCAAATACTAATTAATACTTCAATTTGTAGACACAAGAAATGTTAACATATTTTGCTTTAGAGGTCAAATGTGATGAAAACTTCTTTTACTACTATAGCCAGACATAGTTCTGTTTACAAACAAAAAACAAAATCACATAGACAATAGAGAATGCTATCACTGTACTGTTACAAAACCCTCACCAAGTCTTCCTGGCCTCATCCAAAACGTCGCAATTGATTCATATGCAGTATGATTCCCGTTCCATAACAACCTGCATGTATACAGAATATAACCAGCTTCTATATCTATCTTCAGCAAATAAATTTGCTGTCTGTCTTGAAGAGAGTAAATTCACAACCAATAACAGAACTCAACACAGTAAGGAGAATGTGTTAACCAATACAATGACTTTGTCATACCTGTCAATCACCAACACATCCTTTTATAACCATAAAGCTTGCATGCCCAATACATCTGTATGGACCTACACCTGCATCTTAAGGCCACACTCCATAATTACAGAATAAACTTAAGATATATACAAACATATACTTGTTAAAACTTAACAAAGATAATACAGAAGATATGCATTAATACAGAATTTTGCTGACTTGACAAAAACACTTCCTGTCTGCTTCACTTAAATTGTCTACACACTATAGGCTATTGTCTAGTTTGAAATTACTCACAGGTATCATGTCACATAACTGCCTCTAAGTGATATTTCATAATTTTTTTTCGTCAGCATAATGATACCATTTGCTGATGGATGTTTTGTAGATTTAAACATAACATTAATGATACTGGTCTCAATGGATTGTTTCTGTAATCAAAGCATGTTAGTAGGTAAATCTGAATGAAATATAAATTCATATACGAAGAGATTGAAGAATATTAAATGAAAAAGAAACATGTAAAAATGTGAGATCAATAAATAGTTAGGGATTTCAAATAACTGAGAAAAGTTTCTAATTCTAATTTAAAGATTAAACCGTAGCTGATGTTGAAATTACATTACAAAGTGTCATGTCAACTAGTGCATATCTCCTCTCCCTTACAATATTACATAAACCATCAATAGTTACATATGTACCGGTATGGTGTTTTCTTTGGAATGCGAGCAGAAACAAATCTATAGCATGTATAATACTATTCTAACAAAAAAAAAAAATATTAACACCTGAAATAACCGATCTAAAACACCTAGCAAATGCCTGGATAGTCCCTGTCAACACTAAACCTAGCAAATGCCTTTATAGTCCCTATCAACATTAAACCTAGCAAATGCCTGGATAGTCCCTATCAACACTATCTCGATGATGAAGCAATCACAGCAGTAGTGATACACAGCCCAGTAAACCTCAGATCTACACTAACATTGAAATCTTTATCATAGATCTAGATATTAAGGCTAACACACAATCTGGTGAGGGAAAATTTGACAAAATGTTCAGGATTTCTAACAGAAATGTGTATCAAACACATCAATAAAATAGCTTCAATTACAGTCATTTAATTGGGGAGTGTTTTTTGTGACCATTTGAAATATGCTTATCTCAACCCAATTACCTGGTTAGCAAAACAGGCGTGACAACTGTCCACATATTAGACACCAAGACTCTGAAGTAACTTTTCTTTGGAATTATGCAAATGCAGTGAAATAATCACAAGATGTGAATAAAATGGCAAGTAGGAAATTTTTTGTGCAATTATATGTACATTGTATACTATTTATACTCTTCAAAGTAGGAGAACTTGGAAAGTAGGTCAAATCTGAACTATTTTGAAGAGTTAAAATGAGTATACTGTGAAATTGTACACTATAAAGCATAAAATAAATAGTGAAAACATTTTGACAATCGTATGTTCTCAGGTAGTTTTAAGGTACAAGTCAATACTGTCTAAATGGTAAACAAAAGCTCCAAATAGGATAGAAAATAATATTCTGTTGTTTCATGATACAGACTTATCATTACAGTAATTTCCCAATTTATAATGAACTGAATAAGAACCATGTGAATGTTACATTGTCTTGACAGAATTATATGAAATGTTATTCAATTTTACTTGAAAATTTGCCCCTTTTGAAAACAGGTTTTATCCTAATTACACAGCATGCATTCCACAGATCAAATCACAGGGATAAAATAATTACTAACCAATAAATATCTTAATCACAGAGCACTTATCTAAGAACAACAAAAAATATCCCACCACAACTACATATGATTTGTACCCATTAGCCAGAGCTAAGGGAGATAACTATGCCCTCACTGGGGTTCCTTAGGATGTTCTGGTCCAGGGGCTCCAGGTGTCTCCTCACTGAATAATGGATTTCTGACTTCCATTTCCCCGGTCTGGTAACAAACAAAGAAAAAAACATGGTTGAAAAAGGTCAAAAACAAACAAACAAAAAAAAGCATCATTTATTTTTATGACAGCTGAATATTATTAGCAAAATTAATTTTAGATAATATAGCCTTGAATTATAGTGGTATCATTCAGGAATGATTCAACAATTGATTTCAGTATTTACTATTATTATTATTATTATTATTATTATTATTATGTATTATGTAATTTCTTCCAATAAAACTGTATCGTAAACATAAATTCTGAGAAATCAAAGGGCAAGTAACTCTCAAAAATCAACATAAAATTCCATTGTTATGTATTCTAAGTTTCAAAGAGAAGTTTAGTAGTTAGGAATTTGTAAATCTTCTGTATGCCATAAAGTTTTATATGAAACATTACAGAATACAGGTTATGATGATCATGCCTATGTATGGCATATCTGTTGATTATATGATCTACAAATTTAGCAAGTACTTGTCTTTTGATATTTAGGGTAAATTTCAAAGGCAAGATTGCATATATTAATACAGTTTTCAAGTTACGCATCCTGTTTTGGAGATAAAGTAAAGATGTACGGTGTTTATATTTTGATAAACAACATATTGACTTTTCCTGATGTGTCTATAAACGAGACAAAAACAGCTGATGACAATATGAATTTGTAAGATAAATGATAGATAGTAAATACCCTTTCTAACAACTAAAACCTGTTATCTACTTACCGGTGCCAGACCAGGACATTCATATACAGTGTAATCACCCTCCTCATTTTCCTCCTCTGATTCATCTTCAGATGCATCATGTTTCATCTCACCATTAGCTCTGTAAGGACAAACATTTTATAAAACATCACCTATTGAAATATCACCTTTTTCTGCTCATTAAAGACCAAACACACATACGCTAAGGCCTTACTGACAACATTACCTAGGAGCACAATTACATATATACAAACAAGTATGAGCAGGGTTTTAAAGAAGTACTCAGTGAAATTAAATGTTTTAACATCCATGCTTCAACTAATTTTGTCATGACAATGTCCAAAACCATCAAAAATCCAGAAAAATTGCATGCACCAAAAATCTGTTTTTTTTTATGAATTTTTGTGCGCACAGTAGCAATTTACTAATGGTATGCACAAGAAAAATAAATGAGACATTGTTAAAAGATTGCTGTTATTGCCATTCCTGAGTGAGATCCATCACCATTCCATTTATTTTATAAAAATATTGGATTTCAATGTTCCAAATTTCTGTTTATCATGAACCGAGTTGTATGCTCTAGCTGTGATCTGTATATACCAAATTTTGTTAATGATGATAATAATAAACTTTATTTCTTTTACAAAAATTGAAAAACAAGGTTTTCCACCCTATATTTATCACTCTTGTTGGCCCGAATGAAAGTGTGTGAGGGGTTTTACTGTGGGAGGAAACTAGAGTACCAGGGGAAAACCAGAGAGGTCGGGCAGGTGACATCCATTCTGGGAATCGAACCCAGGAGGGCTAGGTGAAAGGCGAGTGCGTTACCGCTACACCAACTTACCATCCAAATTTTGTTGCATTAACACATATACATGTTGTACTTGGACAGTAAAAAGATCTTGATGCTACGTGTTTTAAAGTAAATGTGGATGTCAATGGAAAAAGGACACTGAAGTCTTAGCTAAGCTACTTTGTTAGAGTGAAATAAAAATAGTTTCTATTTTCTTTGTATGCATTGGAAGTGTTAACTATCCCAGAATCCTGGTAAAAATCAATGAGGAACTGTACAGAATCAATAATTTCACTTTTAACAGAACAAATTTTTATTGTACATTTCACTCCAGTGACCAAATATGTAACTGACCACCATACAATTACTCTATTGATTCTAAAAAAAAAAGACACTTTTTACCACACAACATTAGTAATATTTTCAGGATTTCTGGAGTGTCTCATGAAAATTGGATCTTATTTGAATCACAGGTAATAAATCAGTTCAGTAAGAGTTACCCCTCTTGACTTAGCGGTTCTCTGGTAACAAAAAATTAAATACAATCAATTTTGCTCACTTTCAGAAAGTAAATCTGGCAAAATATTACATTTGTGTTAGAATCAATACGGCCATGTTTCTGTGTGGTCTTAGATAATACAGTCAATATCTGTACGGAGACATTGATGTGCTTAGTTACCTTGTATGAGCCAGTAGGGTACATCTATTGTTATTTTGTTTGCCTTGAGGGATAACTTAACTGACAGGGTCTCCACTAATTAGTTATATTGTTCTCCGCCTGGGAAATTTATCAATGGAACTTACGAGGAAATAGGTCTCCATGAATTCCTTTATGTGTACTACACTGGTTGAAAATTCATTTCATTTACATAGATGTGATAGTTAATTGAAATCTTAAGTTTAGGCTATGCATGGCCTGTATCTGAACTACTCAACTCGCTGTAAGCCGATTCTCTTGTGACAGGTTAAACTAATATTTACTTTAAGACTTGTACTAATCAAGTGAAGGGTCAGCAAATGACCTTAAATGATCTTCAGTGTGCAAGGTTCGCAGGCCTGAGATTCAGCTGTTCATTCCAATACTTAAAATATGCTGATTTTTTCTCTGACAAGAAATTACATTTCAACAACTCTCTTTTACAGTCCCCACGTGAAGGTCAATTAGTGCACTCCGTGCCTCTATACCCACATGTAACATACAACGGAATGCTGATGCGAATTGATGCGTATCATTGATCCTGCTGGCCAGTTTCCGCTTTGAGTAAGCATAATTGACTACCAGTAGCATAACTCAATTTTGCAACCTTTCAGACAATCTATCAGTGTAAGGTGAAAGTATTATTAAATCTCTGCAGATCGCTGTTGATACCAGGACAGATTCAGGACCACACTATCAAGAACAGAAGAAGTCCTCTGACATTAAATCCACATTCAATGCTTTTACCTCTTCCATCAAACCATCTGATTAATCCCAGATTTGAATTCCACTCTGGTAAGTACATTACGTCACTGAGTACTTGTACAGAGTGGTTTTTAGATAAGGTTTTAATCAGAATGCTTTTGAAGCGATTAATATTATCCTACGAATGAGTTTGCACAATTTTCAATCCATTGTAATTGTATAATCCATATAAAATGTTAAATTCTATTTGATGTTGAAGGTTTCTTATTCCATGAAGATCTCAAAGCCCAGAACAGAAAATCAATGATGACCAAGCTGATTTGAATTTTCATTACAAACTGTGTAGATAAACATCTGATCCTGTGTTAGTGGTGTTGTGTGTTACAAACGGATTTGTAAATGTATCTCAATCATGATTGTACTTCGCAACAAAAAATGTTTCTTCGGAGCAAAAGACTCTACTACAGGAGCTTGTAAGCTCCATGTAAAAATGTCCCTACCCAGTTCTAACTATCCCAATAGTATTTTGTATTATGGATACTGAGTATTGTAAGTATACTTAATACAGGATAACCATAGCTATATTATCTCAATTACTGACTGTGAGGGACTACAGACTTATCATAACAAGTCCTATCTGATGCCTTTTATTGTGTACATACTTCTCCATGGCAATCATCTGTTGCTTCTGATGCTGATAGTGATACATCTGTGCACTCTGTGCTAGCTTGCGGTCCCCAGGGGGTGGGGGCATCCTTTCCTTGGAGGGTCCAGTTACTCCATAAGCTGGATACTCCACCTCACTGGCTGCCTTCACATTTTTGTGGAGTCTGGGAACATAGTAAAAGATAACTTCCATTAGTACATAAAACATAACAATCTACCTACTAAATTGTTCACTTTCACATATACCAAGAACAAAAAAAACATGATCAATATTAATGGATTGGCTGCATGTCATCATATTAGACTTAAAACAAGGACTGATGTCTCTATAATTACTTATCAGTTGACAACATCAACAATTATTCCTATCAAAAAACTTCACTAATGTTAAAATGCATAAAAATATTAGTATAAAGTGAGCTTTTCAAAAAAATTGGACAGGTAATTGACATCATAATCAGTAGCTTTAGGATCATTTAATACAGGTTAATATTCTAATAGGTTACTGCCTTTTAGGTCAGGATGACTCATTTCAACTGATGTTATATACATGGTATTGGTGCTTTGCTATTCGATATGGAATCCCTCATATCACATAAAGCAGATTTTCTAGATCTAATTGCAAATCTACCAGGAAAAATGCCAATTACAAATTGTGCAGATTAATGTAAGATGAGCTGATATACTTCCAATATTACAATTTTGTGACTTCAAACATCACACTGATTCAGATGGTAAAGGAATTTATAAATATAGATGTTAGCAATGAACAAGATAAAGTTACGCGTGTGGACGTTGACCTCCAATGATGGAAGCAGAGCGTAGGTAAATATCTCGAGGCAAATCTAATTTGTTGTATTGCTCTCTCAGGTCTATTGTGTTGTGAATACAATATTCAGGATCAATTCATTTGAGCATAGAGATGCCATTGGTACTTACACAATGTAATTTGGAAAGTCGAGTAACGTTAAAGTCACTTTTACATCTCCTGTACGTAACTATATCTATAACATCCAAACTACAAAATATACCATACTGGCATAGATCCCAACATTTTTTTAACTTCTCTGGGAGAATTCTGTATATTCGAAAGCTGCAATATAGTATACTTCCAACTGCTTTTTCTGGTGGGCAAATAGGATTTTTGGAATTATATTGACTCATGATTTTTGTGCAAAAATGTGATGTAGGGAGAGTTGGCTAACACTTATTCTGAAACTATAAATTCATGTTCAATATGTTCTTTCACTTTTCATTAGAACTATGAAAACAAAAACAATACTCACACAAATATCCTGTTCATATTTCACCGTGTCAAATTTTCAGTTATGTATTACAATATCCTATCAATAATCCAAATTAATTTGAATTTCTTGACACTGATAGGAGAGCTGGTAGGAGTCCTCTTTCTGACTAAAGTGACCTGCCAGTTGTTGTTTAGGTCATCCATGCCTTATGACTTCCTATTCTGTAACATTACTGAGTCTATGACAGTAATATTGATGTCTAGCCCAAGGCCACACCCTGATGTGTTTATACTGGGGACCTAAGCACTGTAACATAATGACTAAAACTTTGTTTAATCATCACATGACAGCCAGGTTTATCTAACATCTCACATAAATCTGTCTCAAAGGTCAACTTTCTGTCCAAATGATTGACCCCCTCCCTGTTTAAAACATGGTATTAAGTGTTTAAATGATATTTACTTCCTCTATTGTCTATTCCTACAAACTTAACCTAACAAGGATATCCTTCTTAAGTATAAACAAATACTAGACTGCATATTCTATCCTCCTTTTCAGCCATATTAATCTTAAATGATGCATTTTCAGAAGTACATGTAGTGCTGTGCCTTCTGGCACATGACCACAATGCATCCGTCCATGACAGGCAAGAATGATCACTAACAGACTAAACCAAAAAACCTGTACATGTATCGATATTTGATAATTAAGACAGACCAGATCCACAACCCCACATGGTCAGGACAGAAAAACAAATGATCAGGATTACAACACTAATCTACATAGTGCTGTGTAAAACAATTAACATATCAGCATCACAACCCACCATCACTGAGAAACTTTACATGTGTCGGAACTTCGCTACGAAGTACAATACACTTGCACTGACTGTCATGATGAGTGATTATGCTGCACTTGAATATGACATCTAGAGTTTGTTATTGAGAATAGGATTCACGACATGAAGTGTATTGCTGACAGGGAAATATCATAGGATGTTATCGACAATAGGTTTCTCTCTGTCAATGTATTCTTACTGTAGTCTAGTACCACAGGAAGTTCTGGGGAGACTTGACAAGAAGCTTTCTTTCAGACATTGTGTTCTAACTGTAGTCTAGTAACACAGGATGTTCTGGGGAGACTTGACAAGAAGCTTTCTCTCAGTCATTGTGTTCTAACTGTAGTCTAGTAACACAGGATGTTCTGGGGAGACTTGACAAGAAGCTTTCTCTCAGTCATTGTGTTCTAACTGTAGTCTAGTAACACAGGATGTTCTGGGGAGACTTGACAATAAGCTTTCTCTCAGTCATTGTGTTCTAACTGTAGTCAAGTAACACAGGATGTTTCTCTTTCTCTCAGTCATTGTGTTCTAACTGTAGTCAAGTAACACAGGATGTTCTGGGGAGACTTGACAATAAGCTTTCTCTCAGTCATTGTGTTCTAACTGTAGTCAAGTAACACAGGATGTTCTGGGGAGACTTGACAATAAGCTTTCTCTCAGTCATTGTGTTCTAACTGTAGTCTAGTAACACAGGATGTTCTGGGGAGACTCCACAATAAGCTTTCTCTCAGTCATTGTGTTCTAACTGTAGTCTAGTAACACAGGATGTTCTGGGGAGACTTGACAATAAGCTTTCTCTCAGTCATTGTGTTCTAACTGTAGTCTAGTAACACAGGATGTTCTGGGGAGACTTGACAAGAAGCTTTCTCTCAGTCATTGTGTTCTAACTGTAGTTCTCTCAGTCATTGTGTTCTAACTGTAGTCTAGTAACACAGGATGTTCTGGGGAGACTTGACAATAAGCTTTCTCTCAGTCATTGTGTTCTAACTGTAGTCAAGTAACACAGGATGTTCTGGGGAGACTTGACAATAAGCTTTCTCTCAGTCATTGTGTTCTAGACTGTAGTTTCTCTCAAGTAACACAGGATGTTCTGGGGAGACTTGACAATAAGCTTTCTCTCAGTCATTGTGTTCTAACTGTAGTCTAGTAACACAGGATGTTCTGGGGAGACTTGACAATAAGCTTTATCTCTGTCAATGTGTTCTTACTGTAGTCTTGTACCACGGGATGTTCTGAGGAGACTCCACAAGAAGCTTCCTCTCAGTTAATGTGTTCTAACTGTAGTCTAGTAGTGATAATAATATTTATCTGGTTTTAAAAATACAACTATAATGGACAAAAAAGCAATGTTTTCAAAGGCAATCTAAATATCAATGGATGAAAGCAGGAACTTTTCATTCAAGCAACTGACTTCATTTCTAAAGCTCAATCTTAACAAAAATTCAGATCTCAAAATATTATTTTGTATCCTATTGAATGTGGTAGCAGACCCCTTCTGATGATATATCCTGTAGATATAGATCTACCAAGATTATGTGTCATCCAGTCCAAATGTTGACACTAATATACCACCAGTCTTGCTGTCAATGACAACAATAAGGTATAGGTATTGATCATTCATTATGGATGACAACATTGTAAGCCTGAGGCTGTACCTTCTGTACAGACAGATGACAATCTATTCTCCTAAATACTGGCATTGGTTATGTTTTTTAATGTTTACGAACCTTGTATACAATATTTTAACTTATTTTAATACATGCTTATAACCTACGTCATACAACGTAAGAAATCATCCTTTTATAGAGAATAAATTAGCCTGGTGATCCTTATTTCCTCTCAACACACAATATGACTGTTGTGTGTAGGAATTTACAATAAGAATAAGTAATACAGTTTGATGTTTGTAATCTGGTCTCAGAAATAAAAACATGACAAGAAATATTTACTACTATAGTCCTTCATTGGAATTTGAACTTTTTTCTCGTACACTGGTACAGTTCACCTTTTCAATGAATGATGTAATTAAGTGCTGAACTATCTTTATTACATTTACGATGGATATAAATAACAGAACTTTTAAAGCAAACATTAATAGTATGTCTGTCTGCAAAACTGTTTCTTAAATGACCATAAATGCCAAAATATAGCAGTTCAATGATTATATCTATATTACCTAAGCATGTTGCTCTCTTAAAAACTTAAAGTTTTATCATTGACCTTGATAAACAGACTTTTAAGCTTTATATTGGCATAGATATAAAAGTTTAAAGCTACAATTCTGATGATTTAACCAAAACACATCTATTACTGCATGAGAATCCTGTCTATTTTTTACTAAATATTAGTAGAAAATTTTATTTGGGCACAACTGAGTAAAAAGGGAGAATACTCAAGCCAACGAGATTAAATAGACTATGGTGACAACTATTTACCATGCTACTCATCATAACAGGATATAGATCCTGTTTTTGGTGTTTACTAATCCCGTTCAAGCTTCAAGGCCTCAGGGTGTATGTATAAATGTATTGATTGAATCCCATTGACAATGAAGCATGTCACACAGCTCTATCTGATATGCTACTATTTATAGATTTTCTAACATGTTAATCACCCCCCTCTCGGTGAGACATTTATTCTCACATTCAACGGTATCCTTAATTTCAAAATGACGTCAAAACTGACCTAGATTAACACACCAGGTGAAACATCTATATTTCCCTCAGACCTCTAATAACAAATCAGATTTCAGTGATATCAGTAAGATATACGGACACAGCTGTCAACTTACTAAAATTTCTACATGAAACAGAATATCAGTTACGACAACTGACCAAGAAATTAGCATCACCGTTGAATTTATTGAGTTTTATATATAGCATAAATGCCATTAACAACCATCTTATAAATATAGATGAAGACAAATCAAGATATTGGGTAATAATACTGACAAACTTGTTCCAACACTTCAACTTTCTGATGGAAATTTCAAATGACGAATTTAACTTCTTATTATGCTGTCAAAATAATAATAATGATAGTGACATGTAGACTAAACCTGCTTTTTCTGTATTTT